ACTAGACATTAACATTTTTAAAACATAGCTTGGTGTTCTTTTCTGGATTGAGGAAGCTTTCTTACCCGTCATCGCTGGTTTTATCGCCGGAAATGTTCTCTTTAAGTGTATTTGCTGAATTTCCTGCGTAAGTACTCAAACATGTAAAAAGAAAAGGTTGAAACTTCTTCATGGATTGAGAGAAAGATAAATCTATAGCCTAGAGATAACTACAGTAGAAACGAATGCTTTCAATTGATATGATAAGTGCAATCTCATTACAAAGAAATATCCTTTATTCAGAAGTTTTTCAAAAAGATTAAACAATAAATAAGTACACTAGAAAAGAACAATGCTTTGCAGCGAATTTCTTTGAGACTACATACTGCTAGAATCTGAGCCACCAGTGAGGATGTCATTGATCGAAATGTTTCCAATATCGTCTCGGATCATTGACGGACCAGCGTCCTTAAGAACTGCTTCAGATAAAGTAGTTTTTACAGCTATACATCTGCACATTTTAGAAAATGAATAAAAGTGATCCAAATACAGAGCTAAGAAACAAAATATGAACATAGCAATGGATGGATTTTTAACATAAAACACTAACTAGAAATTCTACAGACTTCGTAATGACATCTTGAAGCTACTAATGTTTGTATCAATTCAACGAAATGAGAGAATAACGAAATTTTGACAAAGTACCTCATGTTTGCAGCTTTAGCAGCCTGGACTCCAGCAAGTGCATCTTCAATAACAACACACTACAAATTGTGTACAAAAAGAAATCACTTATGAAGTAGTTTTACGGACAAACAAGCAATTAAGATCTGCAAGGCTAGTAGATACTTGATTTTCAGCTTCTATAATGTGCAATTATACATCAAACTATGCTGTTGGTGCATACTGTTCTGTTCTCTAAGTCATGCTTTTTTGTTTCTCTATTAGACGAGACTTCCAATGAATTTAAGAGAGTAAAATCTGAATCATGAGATAAGGTTATGTCCATGTCAAGCACTTTTAATTGAGCCTCGTCTCAATATGATATGATGTTACATAAGTTTTGACTATTACCTCGCTTGTGGGCACACCCAAGATCTTTGAAGCAGACAAGAAAATATCTGGAGCTGGTTTCAAATTCTCAAAGGCGTCTGCTGAAACAATGGCATCAAACCTGAAAAATTAAAATCACACAGATTTTATTTAGACATGAAACATCTCAATGACATTAGACACCAAAATAAATGTGAAAGGGTCAAAATTGGTGCCTAATGCCACAACCAAGAAATTTCTTTGGAAGATAATCAGGTTATGATTATTAAAGAGATCAAAGATTGTTATAGTCTTACATGGTTATATCCAAACCAGCAGCTTTTAGGTTTGCATCAACTTTAATACGGTCCGCACTAGATGCCACAGCAACTTTGAGACCTCTCTTTTTACACTGTTTTCAAAAGTTTCACAGCAGATTCATAAACCACCAGCGCCAAAACTACAATAACTGTTCTACAAATTTCAGTTTTTCTTTCCTCACCTCAGTAACAAGCTCAAGTGCTCCCGGAAATCCAATCCCAGATTCTGGCTTAGCGTACTAAATAATCAGTAGACAAATAGAAAAATTACGCACAGTCAAACACAACGAAGCCTGAGTCTGTGTCACATTTTCTTTCCGGAAACTTAACAATCTTCTGTTCTAATCAACAATTGTGCATTACCTTATCGAGATATATCTCAAAGAACCTCTTTTTAGCTGCATCTGGATCAAATCCTTCTACTCCTTTAACTGAAGCAACACCTCCTAAGAACCTAGCTTCACCTATTAATAACCAAACCAATCAAATAATGAAATCAATCACCATTTAACCATCATTCTAAACCCACATTAAGAATAATATCATAAATCATTTCAAAAATTTACCAAAATCATACTAAATTTCATTTCTTTATTGATTTAAAGCTCAAATTTGACCAATTAATGAACAAATTCACATAATTGATCTGCCAAATTCAAATTTCATAACCGAAGAAGCAAAAAATTTAAATCAAATCGTAAAAGCTTTTACCTGTTCCCATGAAAGGAACGAAATCATCCGCAGTGACTTCAACACCCATCTCCGTGAAAACATCCACGGCGGCGCGTCTAGAAAGATCCTCACTGTTGCAAAGGACACCGTCCATGTCGAATAGCACCGCCGATACTTTCCCCCAATCATCCGTCGCTATCGTCGCCGGAGGACTCTCCGCCGCAACACCCACTCTCGAAGACGCCGTTCTGCTAAGATAAACACCGGTTTTCCAGAAAAGTCCGGGATAAGGAGAGGTTAGCGAAGTGGGTTTTGATCCTGTTGGGATCAGAGAAGAAGAAAATCTTCTAGATTGCGAGAAAACTGAAGGCGGAGAAGAGAGTGAGTAGAGTTTCAAAGCCATTTTTGGTGTTGCTTGTTTTTTTTTATTGGCGAAATCGTTTTAAAACTGATAATATGGTTTTTAGTGGCGGGTGTTAATTTATCCAAATAAGGACGAAAGTGCCCTTGTATTTTTCAGTATGGAATGGTTATTCTCGGTATTTCAAACTTCACCAAGACCAAATGAAAGATCAAATGGTAGATAAAATCATAAAATTATATTATAATATGATATATATTTATATAAAATTATAGTTGATTTGAATGAGAAATGGATAATACAAATAAATGATTCAGAAAACTTTAAATTTATAAGTTTTTTTTGACTAAATACCAGAAGTGTTAAAAATCTCACATTTGATTTTGGTTTTTATTTTTGTTAACTGACAATTGCTGCCAATTAGGCTAATTGGCTTATCTTTTTGACCAAATTCATATATTTATTTTTAGTGTTGGATTTAATCAACACAAGAAAGCAAACTCATTTTGAAGCATGTATATGTGATCAAAGCTTGCGTCATATGGTGATTACTTTCCTATCGCTACAAAATCGTCACAAGTTTAAAAATCAAAGAAAGAGATTTGAAGTCTCACCTCTGCAATTCCTCATCATCTAAAGAAAGAGATTTTATGTTCTTCAATTATCTTTCCATATGTATCAGTTCTGTAGTTGTATCAAGTGAGGTTATTACAGCACTAGGGGGTGGACAATTACTCAAGATCTATTTTGTTTTAGATGGATTTGGTAATAAAACTATAATCTTTTATCCTTTGGAAAGCAATTCAATCTTCTTCTAATATTATTTATAAGTGCCAGATTACCAGATTTTTTTTCTCTTATAGAAAACCATAGAAAATCTACAGTTTCGGGATATAATCAGTTTAGACTCTTTTTCATAAAAAATAGAATTTTTTAGCCAATGTTATAAATTTTGTTTTATTGGGTTTTTCACATTTATTTATGAATATTATTAACATAAGCATTAACTTGTATATTGTTTTATAAACCAATCTGTTTTAGGGGATATAACTATTTGCATTTACCTAAACAGAATGATTTAATTCATAACCAATGTACAATTAATTAATTTTTACTGGATATTTACTTGCGTTTTGTTAAGAATCAAATCAGTGGGTATCTAAACCATACACTTGTAATTAGGTAAGGAAATGTATAACATGCATACGAAACTGGACATACTTTGAAGTAGTGAAGAAGATCCCATTGTAATTGTAATTGTAATTCCAATAAGAGAATCAAATATATATATACGTTGCAAATCAACTCTAGAGAAAGAAAGAACAAAACAAATCAAGCTGAAACTTTTGCTAACTTTTTATGAGTTAAAGGGTTAAAAACAATGAAATCCATGTTATGTATCTTATCTCTCTCAATTTTATATTTGATGGCAATGTCATCAGTTGTATCTTCTCATGGTTTGGAACCGAAAAATATCAACGAAGATATAGTAAAGGAAGTGGTGGTTAGTCATAAAGGTGCAGCTGATTTCAGAACCATCCAAGCAGCCATCAACTCCATTCCCTCTGGTAACAACAATTGGACTAAGATTTATCTTAGACATGGAACCTACAAGTAACCTCTCTTATCTCTACATTCTTCAAGGAATTAACTTCTTCTTTTCTTTTCTTTTATGGGTTTATTTGCTATAACAGCATAAATTTCGGCAAATTCTACCAAAAACATGTGTTGTAATTTTTAACAATTATCGTTAGCTAAACTATATCATGTAAAGTTTAGGTTAGGACGAAACTAATATTACATATGTTGTACCTTTATGGATTACGAGTTTCGACCCAAAACCTCCTCATAAAAAAATAATAATAATAAGGTGTCATCAGATTAAATAACATAATATTTTCTAAACATCTGTTTGTATGAGAAGTTGAGAACATACATGATAAAATACACCATCTTTACAAAAACAGTCAACATATTGTGTTGTTTCAGCAAGTTACATGTAAGCGCTATTTTATTTGGCTATACCAATTTATACTTATATGTATTATGACTTATGTGTATTGATGCAGCGAAAAGATAGTAATTCCGAGGGAGAAGCAAAAAATAGTAATGCAGGGAAACAATGCATCAAAAGTGATAATTCAATATAATGATGCAGGACTTTCCAATTCGAGTGGTCCTTTCATAGTCTATGCCGAATACTTCGTCGCTATCAATATTACATTCAAGGTTAGGGTTCATATATGTAGTTACTATTGGTGTCTACCTTTAGCTATCAATCATGGCATGCCGTTTATGATATATGTTATAGAGATTTCGAATTAACCATTCTGAAAGTAGTTCACCATTCTCAAACCAAACTTATACAATCATCTCTTACAAATATAATTGATATTATATCTTTAAAAATGTACAAATATTTGTGCATATCAATCCTCAACATATTTTTGTTTTATTATGATTAGAATAATTTTTCTGATAAATTTTCACACATATCATATTATCATATATGAAAAGGTTCTAATATACATAATAAATAATCTGAGACTAGCATCCTGCTTGTGCAGAATACTTATAACCACATAAAACAGATAGTACCATATAAAGACATAAAGGTAGCTCCATCGATAATACTAATGGCGGACAAGGCATGGTTCTATGGCTGCAGATTCATCAGCGTCCAAGACACACTTGCTGATGGATTTGGCCGTCACTACTTCCAAAACTGTTACATCGAAGGAGCCATCGATTTCATATGGGGTTATGGCCAATCTATATACCAAGTAAGTTCACATTTCATATATATGATTCACAAATAGTATATGTGGGTAGCAGGGTAGGTTTGTAGGATGGCTTTTTTCATATTTACAAAATCAAGGACAAGCCAATTTAGGTACTGATTGGCAATTTGGCTTTAAATGCTTTAAGGACTTTAAAAAAAAATTAAAGTCTTTAAAGACATATATTATCCAATCACAGTAAGTTTTAAAGTTTTGAAAGTTTTTAACTTTCTCCGTAAAATCCTCACAGCCATTTTTTTTCAGTTTTTCCATCACCATTCGTTGGGTTTTTTAAAAGCCAAAAATATGACTTTTAATATTTTCTAAAACCACACTTTTTTTTTTCAAAAGTCAAATTTTCACAGCCATGCTATAAAAAAAACCTAACAATCAAAGTCGTTAAAATATTTACCAATCAAAGCCTTAAGCTAGTTAGCTCAACTAGAAAAGCAGCAAAGGTGGAGCCTAGAGAGCGAATGACCAGTGGCAGAGCTAGCTTGAGGAGACGTGGGTCACTTGACCCATGTGACTTTTGTTAAAAAAACGAAATTTACATCTTTAACATAGCAAATATGATGGAATTTGATAAAAAAAAAAAAAAAAAGCTGAATTGACCCCTCTAAAAAACGGTTAAAATAAGTTTGACCCTTGTGAAAACTTTGGCTTGCTCCGCCACTCCGAGTGACACTAGGGACGGGGCTAATATAGCATGCTCTAGTTTTGTATCTAGTGCACAAACTTTGGCCCATAACCACCTAATTATAAAAACAAATTACAAAATCAGGGGTGAGCTGATTTAAGCCAGTTTCTAGCCTAAGCTCATCATGGGCACCAAGCGAAAAAAAACCCTCAAAGGCCGGAAATACCAAGCAAAACCTGTTATTGTGTCTCCATTATTACTTACATGTTGAATCAAAATATCTAAAATGAGTTTGTGTGTGGATCCAGAACTGCATGATATACGTTAAAGGAGTGACATCAAAGGAAATGTTGGAGAATGAAGGAATGTTAGCGGGATTCATAACCGCGCAAGGGAGGGAAAGCGAGCACGACACAAGTGGATTTGTGTTCAATAATTGTGTGATTGAAGGAGATGGTAAGGCATTCTTGGGAAGAGCTTACAGAGGCTATTCAAGAGTTGTCTTCTATGGAACCACCATGTCCAGTGTCGTTGTTCCTGAAGGATGGAATGCTTGGCATTATAAAGGCCACGAGTACGTAATAGTTATCACTTCTATACCTTAATACATGCATTTGTTACATATTTAGTACGCATTTTCTAACAATAGTTGTTGATAATTAGGGATAAATTTACGTTTGTTGAAGTAAACTGCACAGGCGAAGGAGCAAATAAGAAAGGAAGAGTTGGGTGGGAGAAGAAACTCTCACCTAATGATGTTAATTTTCTTATAGAACCTAAAACTTTCATTGATGGAGATGGTTGGATGGCCATTCTTCCTTCTTCTCTGGTCTCTTTATATTTACCATCTTCCAGAATTTGATGTCTTTTACGATATTTAGTGGGAATAAAATTCTTTAACTCTTATGAAAAATATATAGATTAAAAACTTAATGTGTATGTATGTCCCTTTATAAAACAAAGTATATGATGTTAAAAACTAACAAAAAGTAAAGTATGTGTATAATCTAAGGTACAATTACATTCAAGCTTGTATGTTTTATAAACATTCGGTTCTTATTTAGAAACACACAAATCTAAATCACACCTATATTATAAGTGCCAGATTACCAAAACATTTTCTCTTATAGAAAAGCATAGAAAATCTACACTTTCAGGATATAATCAGTTTAGATTCTTTTATCATAAAAAAGTTGATTGTTTTAGCCAATGTTATAAATTTTGTTTTATTGGGTTTTTCACATTTATTTATGAATACTATTAACATAAGCATTAACTTGTATATTGTTTTATAAACCAATCTACTTTAATGGATATAACTATTTGGATTTACCTAAACAGAACGATTTCATTCAAAACCAATGTACAATTAATTCATTTTTACTGGATATTTACTTGCTTTTAGTTAAGAATTGAATCAGTATCTAACCATACACTTGTAATTATGTAAGGATATGTTAACATGCATCAAAACAGGACATACTTTGAAGTAGTGAAGATCCCATTGTAATTCCAATAAGAGAATCAAATATATATATATTAATTCCAATAAGAGAATCAAATATATATATACGTTGCAAATCAACTCTAGAGAAAGAAAGAAAAAAAAAATCAAGCTGAAACTTTTGCTAACTTTTTATGATTAAAAGGGTTAAAAACTTTTTCTTTTAAACAATGAAATCCCTGTTATGTATTTTACCTCTCTCAGTTTTGTATTTGATGGCAAGGTCATCAGTTGTATCTTCTGATGGTTTAGGACCGAAAATTTTCAACGAAGATCTAGTAAAGGAAGTGGTGGTTAGTCATGAAGGTGCAGGTGATTTCAGAACCATCCAAGCAGCCATCGACTCCATTCCCTCTGGTAACAACAATTGGACTAAGATTTATCTTAGAGATGGAACCTACAAGTAAGCGCACTTATCTCTACATTCTTCAAGCAATTGACTTCTAATTTCTTTTATGGGTTTATTTGCTATAACATCATAAATTTCGGCAAATTCTACCAATAACATGTGTATTTTTTAAACAAATACGGTTAGCTAAACTATCTCAAGTAAAGTCACAGGATCGAGTAGTATTACATGTTGTGGCTCCTATGATTACGAGTTTCGACCCAAAATCTCATGATAAAAAAAAAGTGTCATCAAATAAAGTAACATGATATTTTCTAAACTTCACCATCTTTACAAAAATACCACCGTGTGCCTTTACAAAAAATTTCTCAACATTATGCTGTTTCAGCAAGTTACAAGTAGGAGCTATTTTATTTGGCTATACTAGTTTATACAACATATATGTGTATTGATGCAGCGAAAAGATAGTAATTCCGAGGGAGAAGCCAAAAATAGTAATGCAGGGAAACGATGCATCAAAAGTGATCATTCAATATAATGATGCAGGACTATCCAATTCGAGTGGTCCTTTCATAGTCAATGCCGAATACTTCGTCGCTATCAATATTATATTCAAGGTTAGGGTTCATATATGTAGTTACTATTGGTATCTACCTTTAACTAACATTCATGGCATCTCGTTTATGAATTATGATATATTATAGAGATTTCGAAATAACCATTTTGAAAGTAGTTCACCATTCTCAAACCAAACTTATACAATCATCTCTTACAAATATAATTGATATTATGTCTTACAAAATGTACAAATATATGTACATATCAATCCTCAACATATTTTTGTTTTATTATGATTATAATGAATTAGAATAATTTTTCTGATCAATTTTCACATGGCATATGAAAAGATTCTAATGTACATAATAAATAATCTGAGACTAGCATCCTGCTTGTGCAGAATACTTATAACGACATAAAACAGATAGTACCATATAAAGAAATAAAGGTAGCTCCATCAATAATACTAATGGCGGACAAGGCATGGTTCTATGGCTGCAGCTTCATCAGCGTCCAAGACACACTTGCTGATGGATTTGGCCGTCACTACTTCCAAAACTGTTACATCGAAGGAGCCATCGATTTCATATGGGGTTATGGCCAATCTATATACCAAGTAAGCTCACATTTCTCTCATAAACGAAATACCAAGCAAAACCTGTTATTTTGTCTCCATTATTTCTTACATGTTGAATCAATATATCTAAAATGAGTTGTGTGTGGATCCAGAACTGCATGATATATGTTAGAGGAGTGACATCAAAGCAAATGTTAGAGATTGAAGGAATGTTAGCGGGATTCATAACCGCGCAAGGGAGGGGAAGCGAGCAAGACACAAGTGGATTTGTGTTCAATGATTGCGTGATTGAAGGAGATGGTAAGGCATTCTTGGGAAGAGCTTACAGAGGCTACTCTAGAGTTGTCTTCTATGGAACCAATATGTCCGATGTTGTTGTTCCTCAAGGATGGAATGCTTGGTATTATGAAGGCCATGAGTACGTAATCTTCATCTCTTTTTAATTTCAATATATGCATTTGTTACATATTTTGGTACGCATTTTCTAACGATAATGTTGAATTACAAAACAATAAAATTAGGGATAAATTTACATTTGTGGAGGTAGACTGCACAGGCGAAGGAGCAAATAAGCAAGGAAGAGTTGCCTGGGAGAAGAAGCTCTCAGCTAATGATGTTGGTTTTCTTATTGAACCTAAAAGTTTCATTAACGGAGATGGTTGGATGGCAACTCTTCCTTCTTCTCTCGTCTCTTTATATTTACCATCTTCCTTCTTCAGAATTTGATTTCTTTTACCATATATAGTGGGAATAATGTTATTGAACTATTATGGAAAAAAAAGATATATTAAAAACTTAATGTGTATGTATATTTACTAAATAAAGTATATATGATGTTAAAAACTAACAAAAGTAAAGTATGTGTATGATCCTGTGAGAAATAAAAGTGTAGGTCAAACCACTCACAAATCATATAAAACATAACAATTTCTTTTCTTGTTTGCTTTTTTAATATACATTCGGTTCTTATTTAGAAACACACAAATCTATACCTCAGTTCGTTATATCACACCCATGGTGATTCATTATTAGTATTAACATGAACCAAATTATTTTCTGTAACTATGGTAACTTAGGTGCGTTTGCGGGTAGCAGCGGGTGAACCTAAGTAAGTAACGGCCTGACATAAGAACTTACAATATCCATTTAGCCTTTGATCGCCTTGTAACACTGGAGGCTGCACAATGGAAGGTTTGGCGAATTACAATTATTTAAAACAAGATAATACACATGCACCAAGCAGAAGTTGTGCTTTGGTTTTGTTACACAAGGCAAGAGATTTTGTTAATAGAATAACAACATATGAAAGGATTTGGCACCAACAATATATTTTACCATAATAAATTTCTTATCTTCTGGATGAAAGCATCAACGATATAGAACCAGGCTCTGCTCCAACGAGAATCAAAAGAGAGTGACGTGAATATCCCAAGAAGTATTGTCACATAGGCTGCAATAAAACTCCAGTAGAAAGATACCATGTCGATTGTAGAATCATCATCTTTCACTTCATCATTGTCTGGTTCCTGAAGGTTATTACCATTGCAGCTTATGTTGGTTGGTAATCCACAAAGAAAAGGATTACCTAAGTAGCTTAGCATGTCAAAGGTACTAAACTGTCTTCCTTGTGGAATGACCCCTGATAAGTTGTTGTACGATACATTGAAGACAGCTAGGCTGCTCAGTTCTGTTAGCTTTGGTGGAATCTTGCCATGTAGTTTATTGAAAGAAAGATCAAGGCTTTCCATATTCTTCATACCTGAAAAACTTTCTGGTATCACACCTAGTAAATAGTTGTGAGAGAGATTGAGAACATGTAGTTCCAAAAGACCTCCTAGCTCTACTGGGATCTCACCGCTTAGCTCATTTTCTGAGAGGTCCAATCCAGAAAATTTTAGGAGATTCCCACCCATGTAAGAATCATATCGATGTTTTGTTGCAAATTTAATTTTAGTATGTGTCTCTACAGCGTAGTCCAGAATAAATGGATCCCTCACAAGCTGGGATTTAAAATATATGCCCATATTTCCTGTGTGTACCAGATTAACAGGAAAAAAGCTTTCACCTTGGCTGGAACCAAAATTGAAATCATAACCATCTGATGTATCCTCATTTCCCAAACCAAATGATATATTCCTAAGACATGAAGGTATGGATCCATTCAGCCTGTTGTTAGCAAGATCCAAAAGGTGGATGTTTCTTAGACCGCATACCCTTTGAGGAATGACGCCTGTTAGCTTATTCCCTCGTAAAAGAAGTATAGTAATGTTTTGGGTGTTGATGAACTCCGGTATATTTCCATAAAATCCATTATTTCTTAGATCAAGAATAGCGACATCATGCAGTAGTGTTTTTGGAATAACTCCTGATAAATTATTATCTTGGAGAAGTAACACCATTGACCAAAAAGAATTGACATGTGGAGGTACGCCCCCAGATAACATGTTGGCAGAGAGGTCCAACATTTGTAGATTAGATATGTTGAACAAAGAAACAGGTATTTCACCTTCCAATAAGTTGTTTGAAACCAGTAGTGCATTCAAGTTTTGAAGTTTGTCAATCCAACTTGGGATCACACCCGTGAGATTGTTGTTCGAAATGTCAAGCATATACAAATACGTCATGTTGCGTATAGCTTGTCCAATATTTCCTGTAAACTGATTGTTATCCATAGATAGTGTCGACATATCTGTAAAGTTTGTTGATTCCTGTAAAATATCCCCACTTAGTTTGTTGTGTGAAAGCACTAAGGTCTTCATGGAATAGCAACCTTCTACAAAACTTCTTGGTAACCTACCGTGAAAACTGTTGTGAGATATATCCAGAAACTCTATACTTTTCATGTTACCCATAGAAGAAGGTAGGTAAAATTATTCTTTGCTAGATTCATAGACCGCAAATGAGGAAGTATCCATCCAATTTTGTCCGGAAATAGATGACTGAATTTATTCATTGACAAATCCAAGTAAAGTAGTTTATGCGCGCCTTTTGGTAGCTCAAAGCTCGTAAAAGAATTGTTTTGTAGGAACAAAGCTTCGAGTTTTGTATTGTTTGCCACTAGCCAAGAAGGAAAATTTCCAACTATTCTATTGTTAGAGAGATCAACTTGTTGCAAATCCTTCTGATATAGGAGGAAATGAGGAACTTTCTCCAAGTTGCAAGATCGTATTGAAATAACTTTCAACTGAAATTTTGGCATCCAAGAACTTTGAAACTCTACGTGAAGTGAGTTAGATTTTGAATCAAGTTTGAATCCTTTAAGCTCTGAGAGGTTGGCGAGCCAATCGAGTGAGAAGAAGCCTTCGAAATTGTTATCAACCAGCGATAAGTATGTAAGGGATTCAAGGTTACCAAGAGTGGATGGTAGATTCCCGGTCATTTGGTTTGATGAGAGATCTAGAACTTGAAGTCCAAGCAAGCTAGTCAAACATAAGGGAAACTGACCTACAAGTTTGTTTAGACTGAGATCGAGTTCTTGCAGATTCTTCAATTGGCAAATCCCTACATTAATCAAAATACATTGTTAGAATAGATATGTACAAATATATATTCGGTTGAGTTAGTTAGGGTATACTCTTGTATATTCTCCAAGATCCTATGTGATCTATCTCTGTAATCCCTATATAAAGGGTTTTGTATAATACAATGAAGCATCGACCTCTATCCCAACTTACATGGTATCAGAAGCTTAAGGTCTCTTTTCCTCGATCACCTCTCTATTTTTCTTCTACGATTCTCTTATGTCTCTCTTCTCTTCTTCATTTCTTCTTCTTATTCTCTTGTTTCAGTTTCTCCCAATGGCCGCCGTCGTGCATGTCGCTCTGGCTCCTTCTGAGAAGCCTTTCGGCATATCTACATTCTGGTCATCCTTGACATGACCTAGTTCAACTACGATCTGTGGCATGAACTTTTTGAGACGCATTGCTCCACATTTGGTGTTCTCCAGCACATCGATGGCACAGGAAATCCAACTCATGAGATCGAGAAAGCGTGGAAAGAACGTGATGGCCTAGTCAAGATGTGGATCTACGGTACACTCTCCGAGTCCCTTCTTGACACAGTCATCACGGCCAAGTGTACTGCTCGCGAGCTGTGGATCTCCATCAAGAACCTGTTCCGCGATAACAAAGAAGCTCGCTCTCTGCAATTCGACCACAAATTGTGCACTGCAACAATAGGTGATCAAACCATTCATGAATATTGCAAGAAACTGAAAATCCTATCAGATCTTCTGGCAAACATGGAATCCCCTGTTACCTGCCCTGGTTATTCATCTCCTCAATGGTCGCTCTGACAAGTTTGATAACATTATTAATGTTATTAAATATAAGGAGCCGTTTCCTTCATTTTCCACTGCACAATTCATATTGTTTCTTGAGGAAGACCATTTGGCCAAACAGATCATGCCGCAACCAACCAACAACAGCAACTCCTCTGCTCCAAACGTGCTCTGCACGGCGACCGATCCACAACCACAACAAGCTTCTCCGCCCTCTTTCCAGCAGAACAGAGGCTACAACAATCGCGGTCGTGGTGGGTGCAATAACAGAGGTAGAGGACGTTACAATAGCTCGTGGCAGCAGCATCAGCAGTACGCTCCACCACCATGGTCTTATGGTCATCCTCAATGGCCAATTCCCTATGGATACTGAAGCTACGATAAACAAAGCTCAACCTATGATTCAAATGAATCAATCGGGACCTGCCAGCTCAACCAAGGGATTTGATATAATCCTCGCTTGGGATCTGTTTCTTGAACTCGTTGACATCTCTCTAGACCTACCGAAAACGAGGATACATAATACTTTTCTCTCAAAGCCTAAGTTTTTTTATTAATAATCAACAACTTAATACAAAAGGAGGCCTAGACGACTTATTTATAAGAAAGCTTTAAAACCTAGAAAACCCTAAAACAATAATAAGAAATTATCAAAATAATAATATAAATATTTTTAAATATCTCTCTGCATCATTTAGACGGCCTCCTTTTGTATTAAGTTGTTGATTATTAATAAAAAAAATCTTATGCTTTGAGAAAAGAGTATTCTCTATCCTTGTTTTCGGTAGATCTAGAGAGATCTCAATGAGTTCAAGAAGCAGGTCCCAAGCGAGGATTATATCAAATCCCTTGGTTGAGCTGGCAGGTCCCGATTGATTCCTTTGAATCATAGGTTGAACTGTGTTTATCGTAGCTTCCGCTACATCAGATACTCACCGTATCCACAACAGGCTCCATTCTTGCCGCCTCCACCTAGCTACTTTCCTCAGTCTCCCCCGACGACCATCCTCGGTCCCGCTCCTCACGCAATGAAGCTCATGTGACTCAAACTTAATCCCCCTCACTATCCACCACGACGCCATCCGCACAATCCCTTACCTACCATCTGAGATCACTCATGCATTCAACACTCTGGCTCTTCAAGATCCAAATGAGAATGTGTGGTACATGGACACAGGCACGACAAACTTTGGCACTGCGGACAAAGGTACTCTTTGTTCTGTTATTAATACTAGAGCTTACCCTCCGGTCAAAGTTGGTAATGGATCCTTCTCCCCAGTTACTAATCTTGGCAATGGAACTATTTCATCTCACTCTCGTTCTCTTTCTCTTAACACTGTCCTTGTTTGCCCATCTATAAACAAAAACCTTCTCTTTGTTCGTCGTTTTTCCATTGATACCAAATGTTCCATTGAGTTTGACCCTTTGGATTTGTTGTTAAAGATCTCAAAACCAAGACGCCTCTACTCCGATGTGACAGCTCCAGGCCTCTATATGCGGTGACTCCATCCACTAAACATCCACCTTCACTGCAAGCTCTTGTTGCATCTTCCACAAATAGCATCATATGGCACCGTCGTTTGGGTCATCCGGAAAACACAGTTCTTCAGTCTCTTTCATCTTATGGCTTTTTAATTTCAATAAGGCTGACATGACAACGTTGTGTCATGCATGCCAAACTGGAAACATGTTCGTCTTCCTTTTTCTTCATCTTCATCTATTATTACTAAACCTTTTGAAATTGTTCACTCAGACATATGTACATCACCAGTTTCGAGTTTTGGAGGAATAAAATTCTATGTCATTTTCGTTGATAAAATTTCTAGGGCTTATCCTCTCAGGCGCAAGAGCGAAACATTTAGCAAATATCTCCATTTTTCTGCTCTTGTTCGCAATCAATTTGGTTGTCCCATTCAATCTCTTCAATGTGATAATGGTGGAGAATTTAACAATCATCAATTTCTCTCCCATCTTGCAGCTGAAGACACTCAAATTCGTTTTTCCTGCCCTTACACTTCTCAGCAAAATGGCTGTGTGGAACGAATGCTCCATACTATCAGTAATCACTCTGCACTATCATCTTCCAAGCTCATATGAAGCCGGAATTCTGGGTAGAAGCTCTTCATACAGCCGTTCATACACTTAATCTTCTTCCCTCTTCTGCCATCTCCAACGAGATTCCATTTACTAAACTTTTCTCAAAACTAGCATCTTATGATCATTTAAGAGTATTTGGTTGCTTATGATATCCTAATATTTTTCCACAATCGCAGCATAAGCTAGCTCCACAATCTATGGCGTGTGTTTTTCTGGGATATCCAATGAATCATCATGGCTACCGTTGTTTTTATCTCATCACTCTAATCACCCAGAAAATAATATCCTCACGTCATGTTCGTTTTGATCAAAATTCTTTTCCTTCTCAACAAGCAGCAGAAACACCTTATCCTGTTGTTTCTCCATTGATTCTTGTCCCTCCTTCTATTCCTTGGAGCGCTCTCATTCCAGTTCCTGAGACTACTCCACCACCACCTCCTGAGGCTACTCCTCCACCTCCTCCATTGCCAAAAAATCCTATGGTAGCACGGAAAAGAGCGGAATTGTTAAACCACGTCAACAACTCTGTCTCCATACGTCTGTAGTATCTCCTCTTCCTTTATCTCATATACAGCCGGCTAAGGATCCTTACTGGAATGGTGCCATGGGCGAGGAATATAGCTCTCTTATTAAAGCAAGAATGTGGGACTTGGTTCCGCGGCCAGCTGCTACTAACATTGTTCGATCTCTTTGGAATTTCAGGCACAAATTTGACGCCAATGGAGAGATCTCAGGCTACAAAGCGAGATTTTGTGCCAACGGCAAGTCACAAGAGCTAGGCGTTGATTGTAACAAAACTTTCAGTCCAGTGGCGAAACCAGCTACGGTCGTTATGCACGTCGCTGTCGCTAAAGACTGGCCGTTACACCAACTCGACGTAAAGAACGCTTTTCTCAATGGTGATCTTGAAGAAACGGTGTACATGCACCAGCCTCCTGGATTTGTTGACCAAACCAAGCCAGATCATGTCTGCATCCTCAAGCGCTCTCTCTATGGCCTGAAGCAAGCACCTAGAGCCTGGAACAATCGTTTTGCTTCTTTTGCCAAAAAGATCAGTTTTGCTCAAAGTGTAAGCGACCCTTCATTGTTCATCTACTGTCACGGTGCTGACCTTGCTTATTTGCTTCGTTATGTCGATGATATTGGTCTCACGGCTTCTTCAACCAAGCTGCTGCAATCTATCATCGCTTCTCTTCATAAAGAATTTGAGATGAGTGACTGGCGAACTACACTATTTTCTGGGGATCAATATCAAAATTCTTGCCTCTGGTCTCACAATGCAGCAACAAAATTATACCGCAGACATTCTTTGTAGAGCGAATATGACAGATTGCAATCCCTGTTGCACTCCAGTCGACACTAAAGCCAAGTTGTCTCTCGAAGGTGAACCAGTCTCTCATCTGACGTTGTATCGCAGCCTCGCCAGTGCACTCCAATACCTGACTTTCACGCGTGCAGACTTAGCTTATGCCATCCAGCAGGTGTGTCTCTCCATGCATGATCCTGCTGAGCCACATTTTGCAGCTCTAAAACGAATCTTGTGCTACATTAAGGGCATTATTTCTCATGGTCTTCACATTCACAAATCACCGGTGGATCAGCTCACGGCATATTCCGATGTGGACCGGGCTGGCTGCCCATCGACTCGACGTTCTACATCAGGATTCAGTGTTTTTCTTGAGGACAGTCTCACTTCCTGGTCATCCAAACAGCAGGCTACAGTCTCAAGGTCTACTGCAGAGGCAGGATATAAGGCTGTCGTGAATGATGTTGCTGAAACAACTTGGTTGCGAAATCTACTTGGCGAAATGAAGCTTCCTGTCACGAAAGCTACCATTGTTTTTGGCGACATCCTCTAATCCTGTCAAACACCTGTGAACGAAAAATGTGGAGATAGATATACATTTTGTTTGAGAACGAGTCGCGGTTAGGTGCGAGCTCTTCATGTGCCCTCTGCTCTTCAATATGCACAGTAGACATTTTCATCAAGGGATTACCTACTCAACTCTTTCTCGACTTTAGGTACAGTCTCAACGTTCATAAGCCTCCCGATTCGACTGCGGGGGAGTATTAGAATAGATATGTACAAATATATATTCGTTTGAGTTAGTTAGGATATACTCTTGTATATTCTCCAAGATCCTATGTGATATATCTCTTGTAATCCCTATATAAAGGGTTGTGTATAATACGATAAGGTCTGACCTCTATCCCCACTTACAAATAAACATGAATATTTAACAACAATTCTTTATCAAGAAGTGAAATGTTTTTGCAAACTTGCCTTGTATTCCCATTGAACCAGAAAATTCATTTTCACGTAGGCTCAAAGCTTTCAGATTCCTAAAGACAAATAACTCTGTCACACACACAAAATCACAAAAATCATTAAAATACAAACATGTTCATCTCAAGGATAACACAAACAAATCCAACAATGGTGGTATACATAGCCATTATTTTGATTAATTATCTACCTTACCTTGCCCTTGTATGGATCCATTAAATTTGTTACTTCTCAGGTCCAATAGTTCCAAATTTGTCAAATCTTTAAGTTCTGAAAGGGAATCAAACAAAGATAAAGTGATTCAAAGAGATAAAACTGCTCGTATGATTGCACTTAACTCCATCCCAGCGGCAACAATCGCTCTTTGTGTCATTTGTCCAAGTATGGAGAATTATGCTGCTCATTAGCCCTTCTTCTTCTTCTTCTTTAATAGACATCACATATTTCTTGATGTCAAGCAAAGCCTTTCTTTCTTTCTCAATACAACTTTTGTATCCATGTAGTTGCGCCAACAATAGTATCACCCATATCAGGTTTTGACCCAAGAACACCTTTCCTTCCATTGACTTGAGCTTCAAGAAAACCAGAAATTGCAAAATGTGGATTGTAAGTTCGACCAGGTCCATGTTTATGAGCATCATGTACATATATATAGGATTTGAATAAATCAAGTTTCGTAAAGAATAATTATTTTACCAATTCAATATTTTATGTGGAATAATACTTGTGACGTGCTTAGCATCATCAACTTCAACACACCTTTATACACATTTAAGAAAGACAAATTGTATAAAACACTTATTATTTATCCTTCAGAATACAAAGTATCGGTTCTAAAGCCTTTTAAACTCTTTCATAATGTGATTATCCAGTAGAAAACGCAGGTCTTGTATCATCTAACCTCTACATATATTCTAGGCAATAAAAACATTATGACATAAAACAGAACAATTACATTTACCTATGTTCTGTATACATTCAATTCTTATTTAGAAACACACAAATCTATACCTCAATTCGTTATATCACACCCATGATGCTCCATTTTTAGTATTTACATGAACTATCACTTTTGTAAGTAAGTAACGGCTTGACACAAGCACACTTATAGTATCCATTTAGCCTTTGGTCGCCTTGTAACACCTGAGGCTGCACAATGGAAGATTTGATTCTGAATCTCTATATTTGTATGTGTTTGTACATTCTGGACCTGCACATCTCTCCCTCGGTGGAGGATAGCTGCTTCCCATTAGCAAGAACAACCATGTCAGTTTCAATCAAAACCAAATTGAGTCTTAATGCATCAAACGAAATTTGCACTTCCTATTGAAACAGGACATGTTATTGTATGTTCATACCTTTGAGGTGTAGAGTTGAATATAGTTGGTAATCCAAGTTCTTCAGGGAAGGTCACAACCGTTCCTGAAGGACCCATCACCCACTTTACTGTGTCTGATCTACGCGCAATCGAGTCAGCCACCTTCTCCTGCATGAAACAGAATCACAAACATTCATAAAGATTTGATAGAAAGATCTCACAAAAAATGGTTACAGGAACAATATAAATGATTCTTTACCTTAGCCTTCTCTTCTTGGCGTTTCTTGATCTTATCTTCTTTCTTTTTCCTGCTCGAGTCTTGACCAAGAATCTTCCTGATTGCCTCAGCCTACGGATGCAAGAAAGATTATATAAACTTTCTTTTAACCATATGCCAAAAACTATAAAGGAGAAACAAGACTAAACCTCTGACTCTCTAGCTGCTTTTTCCACTTGCATTTTACGTCTCTGAGCAGCCTCAGCTTTCTTTAGTTGCTGATCAACCTCTAATCCGTTTTCTTTTCTCTCTGTAACCAAACAAAAACCAAGCAAAATACTTAGAACCTAACAAATGAGTCCACAATCTAACGCATGCAAGAGACTGCAAGTTCCCAAAAACAACTTCAAGATCATGTTTTCTATTGATTGCATCGATATCTAACAGCAGGAAGAGAAGGTATGTTCATCAACATTGCAAGTACTCAACAAAAGCAAGCAAAGATCTGTAGAAGTCTGAGAACAATCTAAATCATGCACAACACTGCAAGTACTCAACAACAACTTCAAGATTATGGTTGCAGTGATTGTGTTGATAGCTAATAGCAGAAAGAAGTATGTTAATGCAGCTTACTTCTAGGTGGAGCAGGAGGTAAGCCACAAGGAAACTCGATTTGGTTTCCTCCATGTCCAGAACGTCGACGAGTAGTCACAGTCATCTCTGTTTTAAGATCACTCAGACCTTCTTCAGCTGCTCTTCTTCTTGTTCTTGCGCTCTTATTATCTATCTCAACCTCTGCCTCACTCAGACCTTCTTCTTCTTCTTCCTCATCTTCTTCTTCATCTTTGACAAAATCAGCATCTTCAAAAGCTTTTCCTGACTTCTTGCCTGACTTCTCCGATGTTCCAACACCACCGCGAGGATATTCTACGTTCTGTTTCATTACCTTGGAAAGCTTTTTATGTTTCCTACTCATTTCTCCATCTTCGTCATCAACATCAACAATTTCTTCCACAGCAACAGCTTTAGCCATTTTAACCCTTTTGAGAAACTGGATTTCTTCGTCCTCATCATCATCAAGATCCTCATCAAGAACACGTCTCTTAGAAATCCGGTTGCTCTTACGAACAGGGTAAGTATTTGTTTTGCTATCATTACACGAATCCGCTTTGCTTGACGTCTCCAATGATGCGTGCGAAGACTTTGTAGAACACAAACCCATATCAGAAGCACCATCAGATGCAGCAGATGATACTGCATTGACAACTTTTGACAAACCACCGATTTTGAGTTTAACTTTCTTGACAGTAGTATTCTCATCAAAGCAGTCTTTCCTCTTGGTAGGAACAAGAAACGTTTCGGTGGATGCAGTGCTGTGGCCTCCACTTTGCCTCACTTGGTTACTCCCTTGGAACGAACCATTCGTTGAGCCTTCGTCTGACTCCACCGCTTCCCTATCTTCTATCTGCAAACAAAAAGAATCCACAATGAAGATCCACAATATCAAGAACTCGCAAGAATCCAAAGGTTCTTGATTTGGATTGGAAGATAAGAGAAGAAACTTTTATGCAAAAGTTTTGTATGTTTAGTCTTAACTTTAGTAAAAGAGATACATCAAGATCCACAATATCAAGAACTTGCAAGAATCTAAAGGTTCTTGATTTGGATTGGAAGATAAGAGAAAGAAACTTTTGTATGTTTGGTTGTGTTTCCGTACATTGTCAGGGATTGGTGTGGATGGCAAAGACGAAGCATCGTGTAACTGTCGTTCGTTCCAAGGCCGGCGCAACGTGGTGCTTCTCTTCTTCCTTGTTGCACTGCTTGTGTTACTGAACCCTACACCTCCGAGACTCTCCATAACCGTTTCCTCAAGAAGTGAAGCTCCTCCACATACTGAGAGTAAAGAGTTGATAAAGATATTAGACAGTTATTATAGCTTTAAATCTAAGCAAGCCCTATAGAGCATACACAATAATCAAGCAAAGGATTTGAGTTTCTAACAACAAAAGCAAAAGTTGGTGACTTTAGATTCGTTTCAAGAATCATCCTTTACAGTTTGAAATCTAGTGTAATTGGTCAATTCAATTGAAAATCAGCATAAAGGGTAATCAAAAGAGATCGAATTCTTAAGGATTATCATTTCTACGTCAAAACAAACTTGGTGATTCTTGATTTGGGTTCTTGGTAATTCTTGATTCGTTTCAAGAACCATCTTTTTGAAGTCTGAAATTTACTGGAATCGGTCAGTTCAGTGTAAGAATATGAACAAACACGATGAACAAACTTCGAAATTCAGAGATTCAGGTTTTGAGTTTGATTTAAAGTTCTTAACTTTACTACGATCAGAACATTTGACAAGAAAGATAAAATGAAAAAGCTAAGTACTCGAAGAAAAGAGAAGTCGATCAAACCAATTTTGATTTTCTGCGACACCAAATTTGATTAGAATCCAAAAAGGATCAAAATTTGAGAAATTGGAAGTTGGAATTAGGGTTTATGCTTACTGGAGTTGACGAAGAGCACTAAAAAGTTGTGGAGCTTCCTTTCTGGGTCACTGTCTTCCACTCTTGTTCGCTTCTCGGAATCGGAAGCCTATGAAAAAAAAGGAGCGTAGGATAGACTAATCTACGCTTACTTGGCTGACGTTAGCGTATTTGATTTAGCTTGATCATTTATCATCCACATCTTAATTGGTATAAGTAAAAATTGATTTTTTTTTATTTCCAATTTTCTTTACTTAATAAAAACAAACTAGTAGAGTACCCGCACGTTTGTGCGGTGTGACGTTGTTGTTTTGTGTAGAAAATTTAAACCCTAAATCCGAACCCGACAAAAAACCCTAATCAAAAAATTTAAAAACCCAAACTTTTTTAATAGGTCTAAACATGAAAATCCGAAATAAAAAAAATCCCGAAAACCCTGACTGAACAAAAAAAATCTGGAAACTTTTTCACCCGGAACCCGACCCCAATACCTAATCAAAATTTTAAAATACTCAATTTTTTTAATATATCTAAACCCGAAAACCAGAAATCTAAAAAATCCGGAAAACCCTAAACTGAAAAAAAAAATTGAACCTAACCCGAACAGAAATTTTCAAAGAAACCCGAACAATTTCTATATCTCTATATATATCTCTATAAAATTATGTCTCAGATTTTCACCCAAACCCGAACTTGTCTATAAAAACCCGAAAATCCAAAAAGCATATTCTATTGATTTGGAATTATCGTTAGATTATGTTAAGTTTTTTTTGCAGATTTTTAAGAGATGGAAAACGGAAGTTTTCTAAACCATCGGTTTATTTTAAGTTATTATTCTTGTATCCAAACAATTTTTTCCATTTATTCTTCTATCCAAATAGATTTTTCTCTTATTCTTATATCCAAACAACTTTTGTTTCCATTTATTCTTCTATCCAAATAGATGTTTCTCTAATTCTTGTATCCAAACATTAGAATGTACTTCTCAATTAATAATATAATAAAGATATATAGCTCATTTACTATTTAGGTTTGTTTCCAAAAGAATCAGGATTAATTGGGGTTAGTGAGAATTGTTTATCTTTAATTAGGAAACTCTTATTAAAATGACAAAATCTATAACGAAGAGAAAAAGGCGAAGCCAAACTACTTCTCTTTTCCAAGTTTTCTCTCCCAGGCACGCTTTGCGAGGCATCCTTAGAGTCAACTACTATTCTTATGGAGCTTCCTTTTATCCGGTGGTTCTTTCTTGAAGTAGAAGGTTTTTTCAAAAAACCCTAGAACCTTGGTTTCACGCGCCCGGGTTCCACCCCCGACTTAGTGTCGGAGGGTCCTAACGCCGCCGGTAAGCCTCCTAAACCATCGACAAGAAGCCGCACTATCTCAGATCTCAAGTACTAACAAGCTGCACAAGTCTCCCCTGCAACGGAAAACATCGAAAAGTTAAACCCTCTGTAACAACGTTAGCCAGATACGCACTGAAGAAATGGCGAGACGCATCTCATGGGAAGATAAGGGAAAGGCGAGAGTCGCAGAACACGCACCACCTCGACTGAGGGTCAAAGCTCCACATCTTGACACCACCAGCCTCGTCAACAAGCACAAGCTTACTCTGATTGGCAGGCTCACGAACCCGCATGAACAAAGGCTGAGCAACATGATACCTTATCTCATCCGGAAATGGACCCTGAAGGGGCACGTAACAGGGGTCAGACCTTGGAAGAGACTGCTTCCAGTTCATGTTCGAACTAGCGGAAGACATGGAGAAGGTCCTGTCAAACCGACCTTACCACTACGAACGCTTGATGCTGATAATACAAAGATGGGAACCAATAATCTCACCAACGTTCCCAGCTTTCATCCCCTTCTGGATCGAACTTAAAGGGATCCCTCTACACTACTGGCAAAAAGATCTACTCTACAGTATTGGAGAAGAACTGGGAGGTATGATAAAACACGAGCTAACCTCTACAACGGCGAAGATAAAGGTGCACATCAATGGGCTCCAACCACTGGTGAAAGAGACCGTTATAGAGTACGAGAGCGGTGAGGAGTCCATAGTAACCCTAGAGTATGAAAACCTGGAGAACCACTGTCGTATCTGCCACAGACTCACACATGACACCTACAACTGCCAAGAGGAAACAGAGACGGTCAGAGAACCAGATCCACGAGGGAGATACGCGGAAAAGAGATATGAAGAAAGAAACGAAAGGGAGAGAGGGTTCCACCAGAGATATGACCGACACGGTAAACCGTTTGGAGACAGAGCCCAGCCCCTCAGGACTAGGGAGGTGGAACCACGAGAAAGACCTAGAGGCATAACGGTGGAGGGTAGACCGAGACCAAGAACCCACTGGAGAGAGAAGACACCTCCCAGAACTCCCCAGATTGGAGACCTAAGGCAAACACTGAGAAACAGAGAAGAGGAACGCAGGAGGCAGAGGACCCCGACACAGATCTGGAGGGAGACGGGAAGAAGAAGGGAGAGATCACCACCAGCAAGAGAAGACTCGGGAACGCCAACAAACAATCATCCAACGCTGGAAAGAGCTCTCGACTTCACGGGGATTCCGGTACCCACACAAGTACCCACAGAAGAGGAGGTCATGGCAGATCTTCAGGATGTGACTATTCGCTACGTGAACTGTGGAGACCCGGTGGAAAGTGAGGCACGCAGACAAAGAGTCTTACAAGGCGAAATGGAAGGGCTTATGGCGAACACAGCGGCGAGAATCGTAGCAGCAGCAACCACAGCGGCTCAGGCTCAAACCCCCCCAGACGGGACCCCAACAAATGCCGCTCCAACTCCTAGACAACGAGACAGTGTTTGAAGGAGAAAGTCCAACACCGGTACCTGCTGCAAAGAGAAGAGGAAGACCACCGTTTGTAAAGAAAAAACTTGGGAAAAGTCCGATGTACTTCAAAGGGACAAACTTAATGAAGAGGAAGATGTGCCAAATTCAGAACTCACCACGTCGGAGGACGGCTCAGAATATCCAGACTACCAATACGCGAGCGTCCACAAGCAGAGTCACTACCCCACGGCAACAAGCAATTGCAGGCGAAACTCCGGATGGGCACAATACACAAGGGCAACGACACTCTGGCAATTCTACCACTGCGACAGATGCAAGACCAAGTGGAAGACCGCTGGTGACACCAGCAAACAATGGGAGAGTGGTGGATTTTCAGAATCCATCGCCTCCTCTTCCTTAAAAGTGGCAGCATGAAACTGTTGTGGTGTGGGGAACCCACAAACAGTTCGGAGGTTAAGAGAGATATACACCAGCATCTCTCGTGACATTTTCTTCCTCACTGAGACAAAAAACACAGATGAAAACGTTCTCAGTAAATTCCAATGGATGAATTACGCAGCAAATATACTTATGTCTCCATAAGGACATGGAGGAGGAGGCTTAGCTGTATTCTGGAAGCAAGAGATTGAAGTCGACATGCTCCACGCCTGCAAGAATTACATAGACACCAAGGTCAAAGCGGAAGGCAAGTCTTTCTACATCACCTTTGTATATTGGGAGCCTGACCATACACAAAGACAAAGGGTTTGGGATGAAATAAGAGAAACAGTGGGAGAGAGATCCGAACCCTGGTTATTAACTGGTGACTTCAACGAGATCATCAATGCCTCAGAGAAAAGAGGAGGTCCGCTACGCCCAGAAGGATCCTTTGTCGAGTTCAGGACCTTCATGTCAGAATGCGACCTAAATGACTTGAGGTACTCGGGAAATTTCCTTTCCTGGAGAGGTCAAAGAAATGAACATCTGGTAAGGTGTAGACTAGACAGGGCTATGTCAAATAGCGCTTGGGCTGAAGAGTACCCTACGAGACGAAGTGAATACCTTAAGTTTGAAGGATCAGACCATCGACCAATCATCACCATTTCGACCCGCTGAGGAAGAGAAAGAAGGGCCTATTCTGCTATGATAGAAGACTGCGAACAAATGTAGAAGTCCAAAGATTAGTCTTTCAAGCCTGGAACGCAAGAGGCATGGACACAGTGGAAATGAAAGTGAACAGATGCAGAAGTGCAATTATCAAATGGAATAAAGAAAAGCATCTAAATAGCAGGAAGCTAATTGAAGACTTACGTAACAACTTGGAAGAGGCTATGGTAAGTCCTCTAGCAAACCAAGCAGTGATAGCAGGGATCAACAACGAACTCCAACTGGCCTACACAGAGGAAGAAAGCTTCTGGAAACAAAGGAGCAGACAACTTTGGTTAGCACTTATAACGCCCGGACTGCCCCTCCCGGTGAGTCACCCACGCCCTCTCTAGGCTCGCAAGCCCATCTCGGCCCGTGGGCCTCACCCCTGTCTGACGGCCGGTCCGTTATTTTTGAGAGGCTCTAATGACTTGTTTACTATCCCTGCAATCAACACCCGACCTTTCCCCGTGTTTTGGCCTCAATCACACGGTTTCGGAAACCACTTCCCGAAAGGTCACCCATCCTTCAACTACTCCAGCCCAAGCACGCTTAACTCTGGAGTTACTTATAGACCTTTGACCGAAAAGGTAAGTGCACTTTGTTGACATAGGTAGCCAAATCAATTCTCTTAAGCCTCTCTTCATTTATCACAAACCGGGATGTTACAGCACTTGGGGATAAAAATACAGAATATTTCCACGCAGCGGCAAAGGGGAGACAGGCAATCAACAAATTCTCAGTTATTGTGGATGAGACAAATAATGCAGTGCATGAAGAAGAGAAAATAGTTGGCGTTATAACGAAGTTCTATCAGGAACTGTTTACCTCTCAAGGAGGAGAGAGCCAAGAGGCAATCAGGGAAGCCCTAGAACCTTGCATCACAGAGGAGATAAATGAGAAGCTGATTGCAACACCGACATGGGAGGAAGTAAGAGCGGCTTGCTTCTCAATACACCCAGGGAAAGCCCCAGGTCCTGATGGTTTCTCCGCCTGCTTCTTCCAATCAAACTGGAGCACAGTAAAAGAGAAGGTCACGACAGAGATCCAAGCTTTCTTCACATCGGGAACCCTGCCACCGAACATAAACACCACACATGTGAGGCTCATCCCAAAGATAACAAGCCCAAAGAAGGTGGCGGACTATAGACCGATTGCTTTATGTAATGTCTACTTCAAGATCATCTCAAAGATACTTACATTGAGATTGCAGCCGGTGCTAAACGAGATAGTAACGGAGAATCAGTCAGCTTGTTCCGCAGAGAGCCATTTCCGATAATGTTCTCATCACACACGAATCTCTCCAGTACCTGAAGACATCAAAAGCAAAGGTCAGATGCTATATGGCGGTGAAGACAGATATGAGCAAGGCTTATGACAGAATTGAATGGAGTTTTGTTAAAAACATCATGAAAAGACTAGGGTTTGATGGAAAATGGATCCACTGGATCATGCAGTGTCTAAGCACAGTTACCTACGCTTATCTGGTGAACGGCTCGGCACAAGATCATGTAAGGCCAAGTAGAGGCTTGAGACAAGGGGACCCGCTATCACCCTACATTTTCATTCTTTGTAGTGAGGTTCTATCTGGACTATGTAACAAGGCCCAACGGATTGGAAAATTATCTGGAATACGTGTTGCAACGAGAAGTCCAAGAGTAAACCACCTCCTCTTTGCAGATGATACGATGTTCTTCTGTAGATCAGATCCCCAGAGCTGCCACGAACTCATGAAGATCATACACAAATATGAGCAAGCGTCGGGACAGATGATAAACAAAGATAAGTCAGCGATAACCTTCTCCTCCAAAACAAACAATCATGCAAAAGAAAGGGCAAAAGTGATACTCGGAATTCAAAAGGAGGGAGGGCTAGGCAAGTATCTTGGGCTACCTGAACATTTTGACAGGAAGAAGAAGGATTTGTTCAGCATGATTGTGGATAGAATCAGACAGAAAGCTCGGAGCTGGTCATCTAAACAACTATCGCAAGTAGGAAGAATGGTTATGCTAAAATTAGTCCTCGCGGCCATGCCCACCTACACAATGACGTGCTTCAAACTACCCGTCTCGATGTATAAACGGATGCAATCTGCTTTGACAAGATTTTGGTGGGATGGAAATCAGGAAAACAAGAAAATGTGCTGGATCTCATGGAAGAAAATGGTGGAATCAAAACGAGATGGTGGGTTAGGGTTCAGAGACTTACAAAACTTTAACGATACTCTTCTAGCCAAGTTGAGCTGGCGAGTTCTCAACCAGCCGAATTGCCTCCTCGCAAGAGTTCTCCTCAACAAGTACTGCCATGAAACCACTTTCCTTGACTGTGATGTTTCCACCACGGCCTCGCATGGGTGGAGGGGAATCTGCATAGGACGAGATCTCCTAAAGCCAAACCTCGGAATGACCATTGGAGATGGAACAACAACGAGGATATGGACTGACCCGTGGCTGTCGCTGGACGAGCAAAGCAGACCAATGGGACCACACCCGCAACATGCCGAGGAGACGAAGGTGGAGAGTCTACTATCACCTACAACGGGAGAGTGGGACAGAGAAAAAATCAGAGCAATCCTACCTTCGCATGAGAAACAAATACTTGAGCTAAGGACAAGTAAATTAGGCGGCACAGACAAGCTAATTTGGTTGCATACAGAAGATGGAAACTACACAGCAAAGTCTGGATACTACGAAAGGCTCAAAACTGATAATGAACTAATCATGACCGGGGAACAAGAGGAAGGTGAGGAACAACAGGAGGAACAACAACTACAAAACCCAGAAGATTTCAAGTAGAACGAAGAGATTTGGAAAGTAAAAACAGGGGAAAAACCAAAAATCTTCATGTGGAAAGCTATGAGAGGAGCCTTACCGGTGGGGGAAAATCTGAGAGCCAGGAATGTGAACACAGCGGTGAGATGCCCACATTGCGGAGACGAAGAGACGACCCTACATCTCCTTTTCCAGTGCGACTATGCCCAAGAGGTCTGGAAACTGATCCCCTGCACAAATCTACTGAATCCTCACACCATACAACAGACAAGAAAGGGAATGGAAGAATCGAGGAAATTAGTATGTTTACCTCCAACGGGAGTAGGATCCGGACCAATATCACCATGGGTGCTCTGTTCTCTCTGGAAAAGCCGGAATAGGAAAGCATTCAATGGGACGGAACGACAATACACACCGGAGGAGACGATGACGCAGGCAGTGGCTAGTGCAAGAGAATGGCAAAGGGCACAATTGAATGAGGAAGCCAACTGCGCCAGACCGCGATTGGTAACCAAACCCCCAATTCGACTAGAAGCAACTCGATGCAACTCGGACGCGGCATGGGTGAAGGAGACGAAAATCGCGGGATTAGGATGGGTATTCACCAACGCAAGAGCAGATCAGCTAGGCCATGGATCCACATCTGAGTGCTCTGTTCGATCGGCCCTAATGGCGGAAGCACTGGCAGTGCTCCGATCTCTCCAACAAGCCCGAGAAATTGGGCACAACTACTTATCAGTCGTTTCAGATTCACAGAAGTTAATCGAAGCAATCAACAGAGGAAATCCCTCAAAGGAAATCCATGGGATTCACCACGACATCCTAGAAATCGCCAGATCGTTTAGTTCAATCTCCTTTTACTTTGTTTCGAGAGATGAAAATGTGTTAGCAGATCGGATCGCAAAAAACGCTTTGGTGACTCACGGTCAGAGACCGATTTAAGTTTTAATGAGAATTATAATTTTGCACAAAAAAAAAGACAAAATCTAACATTTTAAATCTTAAAAGTATTTCACTCACAATTTAAACCTTCAAATTAGTTATGCTTGTACCTAAAACGTTCAAATTAACTTTATGTTGCCAAAAATGAATGGAACTATTCGATATCATGTAAAACGATGAAACTGAATTTACATAATATAATTATATAGTAGATGTCGAACATTTGGTACTAATTTGTATGTTTTCGTATCTTTAGTCGTTAGAAAATGTGATATGGAGAAAGAAGTAAACAACATCTTGCATTTATAGATTTGCTCCACAAAACAACCACTCCTTAAAGTTTAGACGCTATTTTTACCAAATCAAAATAATGTGTCTCAAAAGTCAATTATCTTTTGTTACATTATCACTACAAGAAAACTAACTATTAGTGTTATTTATTTAGTATCATTTGTAAAAATGATGTTAACTTTAAAATTAAACAAAACACATAGCATCATTTGTTCAAAATGACATCAAAACAAGAATATTAATATCATTTATTTGTAAATGACACTAATAGTTGGTTTTTAGTATCACTTATAAAACTAATGATGCTAAAAATCAGTATTTTCGATATAATTAAAATTCAATAATAAATGTGTGTTAGAATTAAAGTACCAAATTGCCTTTAAAACAAAAGAAAAATAAAAAATCAGCTCTCTTCGCGTTGCCTCCATCGGGATCATCTCGATCTCGAGCTTTGATCCAATCACCATCATCATGGCTGAGCTTCCGGAACTTCCGATCATCACCATCGCTGAAATTCGTCTGCATTTACTCAGGTATCACTACTTTAGTATTACGATTTGAGATTTTTTGTGATTTCAAAGTTTTTCATCTTGAGTGATTTTGCTCTAAATTGTTCGTGATTTTGGTCTCTTTTCTAGAATCGACCTTTGTTTGGTGTTAGATTTGCTTTGATTGGTGTACTATTTGTTCGAATCAGCATTTGAATCGGAGTTGGCGAAGCCATCGGTCCATCGATGATTTATCTTGATCTTCTCCGTCGTTGTAGCCGAATTCTTATCTCATTCTGCATTCTCGTCAGCTCAGGATTCGAGCGAAGGGTATCCGATCTATCTTCTCTCTCTTCTGAAACAAATTCATATAAATGTACTCTTCCTTTGTGGATCTGTTTCTACGTTTATTGTTATCGTTTCTCTGATCAATCTAGTATGCTTGGTTTGTAGAATTACTGTGTGATTGGTTACTTCACTGTTGGATCATGAATACATCAAATTTTGTATTCCAATAAATAATGCTCTTCCTGTGTGTTGGTTTTTGTCGGCAGATTGATTTAAGCTCACATATCATGAAGGCTTTCCTGACTCTCAACTTCTCAAGGTATCTATCTCTCTTTAAAGTTTCATAGTAGATATTTGTCATTTTGAGAATAAACCAGATGATTGGAACTTTAGACTGGGATATGAAGCCTTATTAGTTTCTTGTTCTTCAGGACAATGAGAAATCTCGTGAAATACTTCTCTAATAGTCTGCTTCATTGACAATAATCTGGAATCATTGGCTCTCTTATAGTTTGTGTGAATTTGCTTATCTTCAGGAACAGTTAACAGAGAAGATGGCTCATATCCTGAACAATTATCTTCAGGATACAGAGAGAGAACTATCAATGCTCCTGACGAGTTTCCAAACTTTGTTAGAGAAGGTTAAAGCCTTTATTACGTCTAAAAAACTATTGGTTTTTAGTTCTCGAGTTAAGATCTTCTTGCTGAAAAGAATTTGAGAACTTACTATACTTTTGTTTGTGTTTATGTTTTTGCTGATATAGTGCAGGCTTTGATATAAACGCTGAATCAGGCCTCATGTATCGAGATTTCAATGCCTCATGTATCGAGATTTCAATGTTGGGGAAGGTGATTAGCCAAAAGATGGTCAACAGGTACTTACTCTGTGCTCGTTTAGTTAACTCGTTATCTCAAGTTAGATCATTTCTAGAAAAAAAGCCATTGACTTTCTGTTTTTTGTTTTGTTTTTGGTATATCTCGAAAGGTGACATTACTATATTGGATATTGATTCGAGAGTGTGTGATGATAGGATTTTACGTGGATGAAGTGAATGAAGGATGATATGAAATGAGGTGGAATGCAAACAGGGGTGAATAGAGATGAGATGGTATGGTGCAATCACAATCAATCAATTCCTCTTAACCATCATAGTCATTGAAGTATAAGAGGTTATCAATCCATAAGGGTGAGATGTTGCTCTATGAGAATATGCAAACACAAGAAAGTCAAGCCAAATGATTAAATGGAGGGATGTAACAACTAAACAACCTAATATGAAATGAAATGCAAGCAAAAGCAGTAAATAAAAGCAGTGAAAGCAGCTCGACCAAGAGCTCGATCGAGTTGAGTACCAGTCGATCGAGTTGGTGTACGAGGAGCAATGAAAAGCAATAAAGGTGCAAACTTTAAGATGCTAATGCGAAGATTAGGGTTAAAGACAGGGTTTTGCAGCTAAAGGGAGGCTATACTTAATCAGTCTTGCTCTTAAACAACTTGTATCAAGGCTATCTCTTGATATTGAGCTTCTCAATGCCTAGCTAACCCTTTCCCAAGGTGAAAGCTATCAACCAAGACTTGATCTCAGAAACAGGGGGTTAGCCAGTGAGAATCAAGCCTTGGAGGCCATAGGATCATTGCTCAAACTAATCCATCCAACCCCTTAGACCTCTATTTCGAGAGCAAGAGATATTGGAGCTCTTAGTGGACCTTTTCCAACGATTTCCATCACTTCCATGTGGAGAATCGCCTATGGACATACAAGCCAGGGATAGTGGTCATGTAGCCTTAAGGTTTGTCCAAAAGAGAGAGATTTCTAGATTAAGAACATAAGCAAGAAGGATTAAGCATAAACAACCTCTAACCTATCCCATCTTAAACCCTAAAGGGAACTACTCACTACACATGAATGTAAACAACCAAATGCAATAAAAGAGACATCAAAAGATAGAGGAGATGAAATAAACAACTTTTATTGAAATAGCAAAGTGCAAAACACAATAACAAGCCTAGATCTAGGGTTCTATGAGCAAGAGCTCAAGAACACAAAGAGAGGCTAAAAAGTAAAAAGGGAAATGCAAATACAAGATTAATTAAAAGTTGAGCAAAGCTATGTTTAATTCGTGGCTCAATGCCATTTATAGTAAAGCAAACTAGGTTTAGGGTCAAAGGGGAGTCAAAGGGAAGCAACATTTTTCGGGTTTGACTTTGACTCCTGGAAAAGCAGCTCGATCGAGTTGGAAACTGGCCGGTCGAGCTGGTGGGTCGAGTCCAACCAATATCGTCGTATCTTCTGAACCGCTGGTCCGAATGACATGAAACCACCTCCAGACGAAAGCTAACTCAATTATCCACAACTTCCAAGAAGAAGTCAGAGGCTGAATCGGAGTGGAAACCCTTCATTTGATACGATACTTCGGACGCATCTCACTAGCTCGACCGAGTGCGGGTCCGTACATGGGGCAGACAGAGTCTTTCCTTCCTCAACTAGTCTCCAGTGATAGGCAATGTTCCAATTAGCTCCAAATGACCTGATTAAGACATCAAACGTGCACATGTATGCAAATGCAAGCCTAAAACTACTATGTATGCAAAAGAAGGGAAAACATCAAGAAATGATGCTTGGGTGAATGAAACTATGCAAAAGATGCATAAAAGAAGGGCTAAAACCATGTAAAATGCAAGTACATCAACACCCCCAAACTTGACCTTTGCTTGCCCTCAAGCAAACAAATATAACAAGAAAGGGATGAGGTTTGAAAACAAATTGATTCAACCTTTAAAAACATGTCCTCAAAAGCGATTTGCTAAATGTCCAACTTAGAGATTCTAGAATGCAACAAGGTGAGAGATATTCATTAAGATTTAACCATGCTTATCAACATCAATCCCACTTCACAGTCACTCAAACAATGCATTCAAATCAGCAAATCCCTTTAACATTCATTAAGAAAAGTGAACCAAAAACATGCAAGATCAATCAACTCATTTGGTTTCAAGGGTTTATGGGTTAAGAGACAAAGAGGTCTCTTTTGAGTATGGTGGTTTAGTAACAGGGATCTCTCAAGAAAGTGGCTTTGCTTTGGCAGAAGGCTAAGTGTTAGAACCAAAGATGGTGCAAGACAGCAACTCGAGCCGCCTAATCCTAACTCGATCGAGTTCAACACTTAGAGCTTTTTAGAACAAAATCCTAACTACCCTTTTTGGCATTTCGCCTTTGAAACTGAGGAGCTTTGCTCACTTTTCTTTTAAGAACATCCTAGGGAGAGGCTTCTTGAGGTAACATCTAGCGGTTTGGGATTTCTAAACACTTAGGGAACTTTTCTTCACTTTTTGACACTTGAGGCTTTGCCTTCTTTTCTTTCTACTTAGAACCCTTTTCACTTTCTTTTTTTAACTTCCCAAACCTTTACTAGACCCTTTTTAACACTGCCAACTCCCTGGACTTAACTAAACTCTTTTTCCTTTGGATTTTCCCAACTTTTACCACTTTTCTGGTTTTTACCCCAACTCGATCGAGCTCGAGTTGGCACCCCCAAACTTAGCCTGAAAACAATCCCAAGAGAACTAGACAACTAGAACTACTGCCCCTGCCGGTTTAAACACAACACCTTATGCTAAGCAAAGCCAAGAAAGGTTCTCACAATCGCACAAGAGATAATATGGGGTTTGAAATGAAAAAGGCTTAGGTTTAAGGTGGGTAACTGTCTCAAAGATGGAGATCAGCTATCTGGACAAGCAAGAGGGATATGAAAATAGGTAAAGAATGTCCAGATATGTATGTGGTAGCCATGAGTTGAAATCAAATGCAAGCATTGGTAATTAAAGATCAAGTTATGGTTCAAATAGATAGGGAAATGCATCAAATCACAGCAATGGTTGAATGAGATGTGCATGCAGTGATATGATCAAGATAAACATGGTTCTTGCTGCTCAATCAATCTCACCCTAATGCACAAAAGAATCTAAAAACAGGGCACTCAAGAAATCGCAAATGATGACAAGTTTTCAAATCAAATCAACAATGCAAGTGAAAGATGCAATCCTAAACAATTCTAACAAATATGAATGCAAAAAGATGAAAATATTTTTGGATTTTTTGAAAATTTTATGATTTTTTTGGTTTTTCTATGCAAAAGATGAATGAAAAACTAAGAACAAAGAAAACAAGGTTAAATCATCTCTTGAACCCTCCCCCAAACTTAAATCACACAGTCCCTTGTGTGAAAGAAGTTCAAAGAAAGATTCAAGAGGAAAAACAAAGAAAAATGCATGAAAATGAGATGGTATGTACAAGGGAAGAAATTTGATACCTTAGTGCTCCCCAAAGAACTGGGAAGCAAGGTCATGAGTTGGAGAGGGCAGGAGACAATAGCATCATAACGGCATCAATCGGGCCAAAATAGGTGTGGTGGGATTGGGCTCGATCGAGTCTGTGGCTCGAGTCAGAATAGCTTCCCTTTTGAACTAACTCCTGCAAGCCTTAGACAGAAACAACTACAAAGAACTTAAATGAAAGCATTATATACAAGATAGACATGGGAATTCCTCCCAAGTGAGCTTGTTTTAGGTCGCATAGCTTGACCTTTTACCTTTTAGGCATGAATGAGAGCGGTCCCGCCATCAAATGTGACAGTAAGGACTGAAGATAGGAGCTCCTTGAGCTTGGTTTGATCTTTTTGCAGCTCAGGACTGACCAAGGCATTGATACTGGAAAACGGTTTAGACTTTCTCTTGCACTTGATCTTGTACTCAATCTTCCCATTTGTGAACTTGGATGGCAACAGAGTCAGGGTAAGCTGGGATGGAGCGCTTGAGAGAGTCTGAGGCGTGATCATCTTTCTTTTATGTCCAGGAGACGCCTTCAAAGCCATACCCTCCCCATCTTTTTGAGCACTTCCTAGCTGCTCACTAAACAAAACTGCAAGACCCATCTCATCCAGAACACAAGGTTCACAAATAACTGGCTCTGTGCTGCTCTCAGTCATTATCTCCATCTTTTCAACCTCAGCAAACTCATCACCCTTGATGCTCAGTGACTTAGTGGCAATGGTTCCACAATATTTAGAGCTTGATGCCTTGAGAGGGTAAGAGACTTTGCTGTTGACATTGTGCAGGATCACTTTCTTTGTATGGAAATCAATGGAGGCACCAACAGTGGTGAGGAAAGGTGTCCCTAAGATCAATGGCACATCCTTCTCGTCAACCATATCCAGAACTGTTAGATCAATTGGGATTGTGCACTCTCCAATTCTCAAAGGGAAATCCATGACAATACCAAGTGGGGCTTTAGAAGAAGCATCCCCAAACATGATAGAAGACTTAGGTCGCTGGATCAGACTCTGTATACCCAATTTCTGTATTAGAACAAGAGAGATCAGATTGATACTTGCTCCAGAATCAACAAGTGCATCCTCAAGTTGTAGGTGACCAAGTGTACAAGGCAGAGTGAAGCTTCCCTGACCATTCAGCTTGGGTAGTGAGGTTGGTGTGGATAAGAGATCACCCTGGGAAGAAGAGGGCTCCAAAAGCTGAGCTACTTCGTCCTTGTTATCAAGTATGTCCTTAATCATCTTCTTTTGGACATGAGCAGCTTGAAAACTTCCCATATTTGGTAGCTCAACCCCAATCTTACTCATGTCATTCCTAAACTTGGTGATGACTTTTTTCTGATTCTTGGTAAGGATTCTACTTGGAAATGGAACAGGGGGCTTGTAGGTGTCATCATCAGATGGTGTTGGAGCATAAAGCATCTGACTCGATCGAGCTGGTGAGACGGTCTGGCTCGATCGAGCTGCCAATCGAGCTTGTTGTGCGAGCTCAACCGGTGAAGCGTGGATAGCTATCTGAGGAGCTTGCACTTCAGGTTGAGCGTACTGGACTCCAGGAGCATCAGCAACAACATTGTCTTCATTATTAAGCAGCATACAGATCTCCTCAATATCCTTCTCATTAGCAGCTTGTTGATCAAATCCTTCCTCTTGAGTGAAGATCGCTCTACAATGCTCCTTTGGATTCTGAACAGCCTTTCCAGGAAATTGACCTTGCTTAGCAGCAGAAGAAGAAGCATGGTGTTCCAAAGAGTGAACTCTAGTGTTCAAGGATTCAATCTTAGAGTTCATCTCAGCCAACTTCTTGCTTATCTCCATAGCACCATCTGCTTGACCTTGTAAGAGCTGCTTCAACATGGCTTTTATTTCTTGTTCCTGACTTGGTGAAGCCTGAGGCGCTTGAGGTGCATACCCAGTTGGTACACTCTGCTGTTGTCCTTGATAATTTCCCTGATGGCCCTGGAAATTCCCTTTCTGACCATATCCTTGCTGTGGAGGCTGACTCGCTGGAGCCTGTTGCTGCGGAGGGTAGACTTGATCTTGAGGATTGGCAACATCAGTGTTACTGTAGGACATGGTAGGGTGTGACTTGTAGCCATAGTAACCGTTTTGATAACCTCCTTGTCCATTCTTAATGTAGCACACTTCAGCAAACTGATTCTCCTCCTCTTCTTGGCCTTGAACCATCTCTTCTTTAGAAACAAAGTTGGCCTTCTTCATTGTGGATTGAGCTAAGATAAGCGTATCCAACTTCTCATTGAGTGCCTTGACATCGTTTCTCAGCTTACTATCAGACTCGATCGAGTTGGAGGTCGAGCTCCTGTTTGTGCGATCATACTCCTCTCCATAGCTCCCACTTGAGTTAGCAATGTTCTCCACAAGCTGCCAGCCATCATCTACATCTTGATTGAGGAAGTTTCCATTACTGGCTGTGTCCAACATCTCTTTGTATCTTGGCAAAACTCCTCTGTAAAGTGTGGAAAGCAAAGACTCATTGCTGAAGCCATGATGAGGGCATTGACTGGTGTAACCCTTGAATCTCTCCCAAGCTTCAGCAAATGTCTCATTGTTCCTTTGAGTGAAACCAGATATCTCGCTTCTCAGCTTAGCAGTGCGACCAGTAGAGAAGAACTTGGCAAGAAATGCCTTCTTGCAATCCTCCCATGTAGTGATTGATCCATGGGGTAAACTCTTCTCCCATTGATGGGCCTTGTCACCAAGAGACATAGGGAAGAGTCTCAGCTTGATGGCATCTTCAGAGACACCATTCATCTTGGTCAGATCACACAGCCTATCAAACTCATCCAAGTGATCAATGGGATCTTCACAAGACAATCCATGGAACATCTTGTTCTGGACTAAGGTAATCATCCCCAGCTTGATCTCGAAATTGTGGTTCTGGACAGGAGGTGGGACAATCCCTCTTCTTTGCTGGTGGCGGTTTGGTGCATCTCCAAGCCCAATCGGTCGAGTCTGCCTAGCTCGACCATTTCCATTACCCAGAGGGTTTCCATTACCCTCTGGTATATCCATAGTATCTGTAACAAGCACCTCTGACTGAACTTGTTGCCTCTGGCTCTTCTTTCTCTGTTTTCTGCCTATGTTGATGTCTAACTCGACCAAGTTCTCTGTTGATGAGCTCGATCGAGTTCACATACACCTGCAAAACAGTCAAAAACCCAGCAGTACAAGCAACAAAGGTGGGATAGTACTTGATCGTTCAAGTGATTTGGAAACTCAAATGCAACAGTAACAAACCCAAATGGCAACGGCGCCAAATTGATGATAGGATTTTACGTGGATGAAGTGAATGAAGGATGATATGAAATGAGGTGGAATGCAAACAGGGGTGAATAGAGATGAGATGGTATGGTGCAATCACAATCAATCAATTCCTCTTAACCATCATAGTCATTGAAGTATAAGAGGTTATCAATCCATAAGGGTGAGATGTTGCTCTATGAGAATATGCAAACACAAGAAAGTCAAGCCAAATGATTAAATGGAGGGATGTAACAACTAAACAACCTAATATGAAATGAAATGCAAGCAAAAGCAGTAAATAAAAGCAGTGAAGCAGCTCGACCAAGAGCTCGATCGAGTTGAACAAAGTACCAGCTCGATCGAGTTGAGGGACGAGTTGAGACAAACAAAGCTAAAGGTGCAAACTTTAAGATGCTAATGCGAAGATTAGGGTTAAAGACAGGGTTTTGCAGCTAAAGGGAGGCTATACTTAATCAGTCTTGCTCTTAAACAACTTGTATCAAGGCTATCTCTTGATATTGAGCTTCTCAATGCCTAGCTAACCCTTTCCCAAGGTGAAAGCTATCAACCAAGACTTGATCTCAGAAACAGGGGGTTAGCCAGTGAGAATCAAGCCTTGGAGGCCATAGGATCATTGCTCAAACTAATCCATCCAACCCCTTAGACCTCTATTTCTAGAGCAAGAGATATTGGAGCTCTTAGTGGACCTTTTCCAACGATTTCCATCACTTCCATGTGGAGAATCGCCTATGGACATACAAGCCAGGGATAGTGGTCATGTAGCCTTAAGGTTTGTCCAAAAGAGAGAGATTTCTAGATTAAGAACATAAGCAAGAAGGATTAAGCATAAACAACCTCTAACCTATCCCATCTTAAACCCTAAAGGGAACTACTCACTACACATGAATGTAAACAACCAAATGCAATAAAAGAGACATCATAAAGATAGAGGAGATGAAATAAACAACTTTTATTGAAATAGCAAAGTGCAAATACAATAACAAGGCCTAGATCTAGGGTTCTATGAGCAAGAGCTCAAGAACACAAAGAGAGGCTAAAAAGTAAAAAGGAAATGCAAATACAAGATTAATTAAAAGTTGAGCCAAAGCTATGTTTAATTCGTGGCTCAATGCCATTTATAGTAAAGCAAACTAGGTTTAGGGTCAAAGGGGAGTCAAAGGGAAGCAACATTTTTCGGGTTTGACTTTGACTCCTGGAAAAGCAGCTCGATCGAGTTGGAAACTGGCCGGTCGAGCTGGTGGGTCGAGTCCAACCAATATCGTCGTATCTTCTGAACCGCTGGTCCGAATGACATGAAACCACCTCCAGACGAAAGCTAACTCAATTATCCACAACTTCCAAGAAGAAGTCAGAGGCTGAATCGGAGTGGAAACCCTTCATTTGATACGATACTTCGGACGCATCTCACTAGCTCGACCGAGTGCGGGTCCGTACATGGGGCAGACAGAGTCTTTCCTTCCTCAACTAGTCTCCAGTGATAGGCAATGTTCCAATTAGCTCCAAATGACCTGATTAAGACATCAAACGTGCACATGTATGCAAATGCAAGCCTAAAACTACTATGTATGCAAAAGAAGGGAAAACATCAAGAAATGATGCTTGGGTGAATGAAACTATGCAAAAGATGCATAAAAGAAGGGCTAAAACCATGTAAAATGCAAGTACATCAGTGTGTTGTTTTACTTTTTCAGACTTTCGCTTGCAATTAGTCTCTCACACAGGCTGAGCAAGAAACGGTGAATAAGAAGAAGAAAAAGGATTGTCCTGAGACAAAGCGACCATCATCGTCATACATTTTTAAGGTGATAAAAATGATGAATTTTCTCAAGTTTTTGGCCCCGTATTGTTCTGTGTTGCATTGTCACATTCTGATCATATCTTGATGTCATATCTTGATCACATTGCTTGGTGTATTGGTATGAATTGGTATGAATCAAGTTGATAGTCTTAACTTCTTGATACGTGTAGTATCAACTTTGCTAATTGAGGTTTGAGGTTTGAACTAAGTTTCACTTGATGGTTTGATGGTTTCTTATAAGATATTTGATGTTTATGATGCAATTTGCTCTTTATTTTGGCAGGTATGAAAATCAAGGAAGAAGACACAAATACATATTTATACATTTTACTACAAGTAAATTTGAGGTTGTATACATTTTACTACAAATAAATTTTACTTTGATTACTACATAAGGATATTTTAGTTTGATTACTATATAAGGATATTTTAGCTTGAATATATATATATATATATATATATTTTTTTTTTTAATTCTAATCTCAATTTAGTATCATTTTTTTAAGTGATACAAATACACATTTAGTATCACTTAAAAAAATGATACTAATCTCAATTTTAGTATCACTTGTTCAAGTGACTTTAAATGTCATTTTAGTGTCATTTTTTTAAGTGATACTAAATGTCATTTTTAGTATCACTTGTAAATAAATGATACTAAGTTTTAATTTTAGTGTCATTTGCAAAAGTGATACTAAAAAAACTTAGTGTCATTGATTTTAGTGTCATTTTCTGAAATGATACAATTTCTTGTATCATTTAAAAAATGATACTAAACTTAAAAAAAAATGACACTAAAAATTATGTTTCTTGTAGTGTATTGCATGCATTATGTCAAACATTTTTAAAAAAAATTACCATTTTTTTATATTTCCGTATAAAACGACCAATATGACGAAGACAAAAGAACTTATAATTTTTTTTTAAAGTAATTAGATTATTACAAGCTTCCGGCTGCCAAACATTTTTTGCAAGCTATGAACCATTTAATAATTTTTCTTGATCATCATCAGAAATCGCATGACTCTGTTTTCTATTTTTATAAAAATCAAATATCATATCTTCTTCGGGCTGTCAAAGATTCCCCAAGAATATAAAAATAGTTCATTTTAAAAAACGTAGCCTCTTTACATAATAAGCCAATCATAGTAATAGAAACACAGTCCCACATAAGTACATAACACAAGTCTTCAGATCTTGTTCCTCCATTTCCAATGGAATCACCAACCACAACGGAGACGACCTTACAGAACCATGAAGAGACCGAGACAGAGTCAACAGATCTCGACAAGAATCAGAAACGCTACCAAAACCTCATCGCCACGTTACCTCAAGAGAAAGGCTGGCGACCAAAAGCTTCCCTGATTAACTACAGTGGCCACTGGTTCTCACAACCTCGCCTTGAAGGTTGCCTTCACGCGCAAGACTTCTTCAAAGCTCGACCAATTGACTTCTTCCTCTGTAGCTACCCAAAGACAGGTACCACTTGGCTCAAAGCTCTTACTTTCGCCATCGTCAATCGATCTCGCTTCAACGACTCCACAAACCTTCTCCTAAAACATAACCCTCACGACCTAGTTCCTTTCATTGAGAAAGACTTCGCTTCCGTTCAAAACGACAAAGCGAACACTCTCTTCTCTGCTCATCTCCCACACCATTTACTACCAGAATCGGTTTCGAAATCTGGTTGTAAGATGGTTTACATATGGAGAGACCCAAAGGACACTTTCATATCCACGTGGAGTTTCATTCAAAAGCTAGCTATAGACAATGGCCCTATCAACATTCTTGAAGAGTGTTTTGACATGTTCTGTCGAGGTGTTTCTAGCTACGGTCCTTATCTAGATCATGTCTTGTCGTATTGGAAAGCTTACCAAGAAAATCAAGAACAGATCTTGTTCCTCAAGTATGAGTCGATGAGAGCTGATCCTTTGCCGTACGTTACAAGATTGGCTGAGTTTATGGGTTTAGGGTTTACAAGCGAGGAAGAGAAGGAAGGGGTTGTTGAGAAAGTTGTGAGCCTTTGTAGTTTCGAGACGTTGAAGAACCTTGAACACAACAAACTGGAGAAACCACAAGAACGTACTAGTTCTTTTGCGAATAGTGCGTTTTTCAGGAAGGGAAAGGTCGGAGATTGGCAGAACTATTTGACTCCGGAGATGGTCACTAGAATTGATGGATTGATGGAGGAGAAATTCAAAGGCACCGGTTTGCTTGAACATGGTAAGTAAACAAGTTCTTTTTCCGGGGAATGATTTATCTTTATATGCTTGTTCACATCAAAAGTTTGCTTCTTTTTTTGTGTCTCTTTGATTGTCTATTATGTTTTATGTTGTTGCAGTTTGATCCAAATGTATTGTTTCTATAATAATAAAGGAGTTACGGTTGTAGCCAATTTATAAAATACGAGAAAGTTTAAAGATTTAACTACTAAAGATATTCAGAACAATCCATAAATAGTCATTCATCTAACTCGGAAATTCCATGAAGAAACCACTAACAGTACAGTGTTTTAACAACATCACATAAACTTCAGAGAAAAAAAAGAAAAAAAAGGCTTCCTTGAAAGGTATCCAGACAACATTTGGTCGATATGGCCACTTACCATGAGCCTTGAGCACCAGCAGTTGGGTTGTGGAACGCCGAAAACTCCCAGAACGTCTTCAACGAGTATGGCTGAGAAACGGTCACGCCTTCTTCCGTGATCTTCGCTATCTGCACAAACGATCAGTTTCAATGTTATCACATTCTCAAAACAAAAGAGCTTGTGTTAGTCCATAAGAAGCACACAAACCTGAAGCTTGTTAATGGCAGATCTGTCGCGGTAAAGAAGCACACGCATACATTTCTCAAGGAGCTTGACACCTTCTTCGAAACTCAAGTCCGCACGCCACTCATCACGAAGGATGGGCCTAGCGAGGTGGTTTCCAAACCCGGTGGCGACATGGTTGTCTTCAAAGCTCACACCAATCATTGACACCTATAGAGGAATCAAATCAAATGGGTTTACACATTCATAAGAGCATTACATGGGAATGTTAAAAAGTCTTTGACTTGAGACGTACCATGCCAAGGTAGCTTTCACCGTTTTTGACGCCTCCAAGGACGAGAGTGTTCCACAGAGGGTTAAACTTGTTGCGACGGTTATACATCACACGGGTCAGATAGTTGTGAACCTCTTTCGGTCCCAAGGAGTTACCATCATCCCACATGTTATCATTCAGGCTGCGGTAAAAGCAAGGATTCGTGAGCCAATGAGAATTGACAAGGAACTAACAATCAAGAAAAGCAAAAGATTGCTTACACGAGCTCATCAAGATAACGGAGAATCTCCTGAAAGTCGCTGATTTCTCCACTTGCACCAAGAAGAGAATGCTTGCCAATAGCCTGCATTCTCTCAATGTTCTTGTATCTCAAGGTGGAACCATATGAACCTGCAGATTGAAGTCACAGTTTAATCATTGATCTGGTGCAGATATTCACATGAAACAAGGATCACAAATGTTGAACTCTAAAACGAATCTAAGCTCCTTAAGAAGTGGTGCTAAAATATGCAAAAATCAAACTATTCTAATGAATATAGCTAAAGTAGTGGTTGATGGTTACAATGTTTATTTTCAGTTGTTGTCACTTAGACCTAAATAAACAATATCCTGTGGTTCATTCAAACTTCCACACCCAAATTTATGAATGCCTCAGTTCATAGTCCACCTCAAACTTAGAATTAACAGAGAGGAAGAAGCATGAATGAACAAGGATTGAGAAACCGAGGTCACAACAAAGCAGACTCATTGACAGCAAGAAAGCAGCTGCATGCCTTAATGTTTAGCAACATATACATATTCAATCAACGGTTGAATTGCCAGAGCAGAACCGTTTCTGCATAATAGCGTTTAGAACCTAAATCCCTGGACCCTGACTCATCTCAGACTCACTTGAAAGATGCAAACAAAACCAAGTTGACCAGAAATGTTCCATCTCGTTTTATGATCATTCATAAATATCGAGAGCAGAGAGAAAAATCAAGTAACATCTGACGAACTGCAGCCAAAATATACTAACCACACTACAAAAAGCAGCTGAATAGACACTAAAGGAGCAGAATTTACAAGAAATCATGTGAATGTGTATACACTCCATACATTCTCACTGAAAAAGAAACGGATTTGACTAAACAAACACAGAGAGAGGCAAAAAGCAAACACTGCAAGCAATCAAACTCATCACGGATAAATAAACCTAATCAAAACTTAACTTGATCACTACAAACCTCTGAAAAATACTAAGAACAACACTCAATTACTTTACCAGATAAGCAATTAATTAATAACCCATAAGAGAGTGAAAATGCAGCTGAAACTAGGAAGATAAACATACCTCCCATATCAGAAGCCATTAAAACTCCATCTTTGTACTTGATTGCAACGATTGAAGTTCCAGTAACATACGGGTACCTAACAAAAACATCAAAACCCTAAAATCAAAAATCGAAATCACAAATTTTCTCAGAATCAAAAAAACCCTAGACAAGGAAGAAAGAGAGAGTTTTTACAGTGTTCTTTGAGAATCGGCTTCTGCGTTCTTCAGAGCATCTCCGTTATCGATCGGAATAGTAAACTGGAAACAAATCGGAGAAGAAAAATCACCGTTAATCGAAAACCAAAACCCAGAAGAATCACAAGCATGAACAAACTAAGAACAGAGAAGATTTCAGATTGATCTAACTTACAGTCATCTTATTCGAAAATTTTCGTAGTAAGCGAGAGAGAGAGAGAGAGAGAGATTAGTTTCGTCAAGATCTGAAGTTTTATTACACTAAAAAGCTTCTGCGATTTCCTTTTCCTCAAGTAACAAAATTGAATCGGGTCCAACCCGGTTTAACCCGGTTATCTCTAAGCCCAAGCCCAATATCATTTAAGCCCAAAGTCCATTATGTTGCAAAATTTCGAATTTTCAAGTCTAAAGTCAGTCTTCTTCCAGAATCGTCTCGTCTCTTCCCGTCGACTGTTCGCTCGCTCGCCGGAGAATCTCTCTATGGCTAGGTCACCGAGCAAACACGGCCGCGATCCAACACAGGTTAGCCATTTCTACTCCGACTCGCCGTAGATTCTCTCTCTCTCTCTTGCTAAATTCGAACCTATTCGTACTTCTTATTTCCACTTGATTGATTTCATGGAGATTATTAGTACAACGAAGCTATATTTGAAATTGCATCATAACTATGTTTAGATTATGAACAAATTAGATGTTTTCCCCAGGATTTCCAGGGATTTTTGAATGATTTGCAGGACTGGGAACTTTCATTGAAGGATAATGACAAGAAATTCAAACATCAATCTGCTAATTCATCGATTCCGGTTTGTTCTTCTTCTACTCTCATTTCATTCGTAAATTCCTTGCTTTGTGCTATTGTTATATGTTTTGAGATTTCTCGTTTTGTTTTTTTTTTTCCAGATTAGTGCAAAAAAGTATGATTTTTCAAGTGGTTCACTGAATGATGAGAGTCTATTGGATGCTAATTCAGAGAAGGAACAGGTTTATCTTCTCTTCAAGCTATGCTTTTTTGACATTTCTCAAAGCAATCTTTATAATGGGTTCTTCATTGAAAACTACAGGGGAATGAGTATTTCAAGCAGAAGAAGTTCAATGAAGCGATCGATTGTTACTCTCGGAGCATTGCTCTGTCGCCGAATGCTGTGGCTTATGCGAACCGAGCAATGGCTTACCTTAAAATCAAAAGGCTAGCTCAAATTCTCATTCTTGATTTTTATACTTAACATCACCAATCTTTTTTTTCTTGCTGAGTTTGTAATGTTTTGTGTGCGTTAGATATCGAGAAGCTGAGGTAGATTGTACAGAAGCGTTGAATATGGATGACCGATACATTAAAGCATACTCACGCCGAGCAACAGCAAGAAAAGAGCTTGGCATGCTTAAAGAAGCCAAAGAAGGTATCTCACACATACGCCTATAAGAATTTGATTCTCTATTACATGTTGCTGATTGAAATTGATCACAGATGCTGAGTTTGCGTTAAGATTGGATCCACAGAGCCAGGAGCTTAAGAAGCAATATGCGGACATCAAATCTTTGCTTGAGAAGGTAAGATTTTGATATGTTCCTTTGCCAGATAAATGGTATATGCTCTCACCAAAAAAGTTAACATTTTAATTTTCTGAAGGAAATCGTTGAGAAAGCCACTGGAGCAATGCAAAGCACTGCGCAAGAACTACTCAAAGAAGCTGGTTTAGGTAAGAAGACGAAAACGAAAACGCCATATACCGAAATGAGTTTGAAGCCAATGCCAATGACTCTAGGGACCAAAACGAACAAGGAAAGTTCAAGGAAGAAGATCATTGAAAGTGTACAACCTGAGGTATATAACAAAGTCTGGAACTTGTAGAATAGGTCTGTCTAGAATAGTGTAGCTAGTGAAGTTTGTCTCAGAATATCACACGGAAATGTTCTTTACATAAACTATGGTTGAAAGTTTGAGAGCTTGTCTCATGGAACTTGTCAAGTGAACTGTTGTTTGTTTGTGGCATCTTCAGGAGAGAAATAAAGAAGGTTCCAAGAAAGTTCCGGCTATCGCTGAACATGTAGAGAACTGCAAGAAAGTGACGCCGAGAAGCCAAAGTTCTGATAACATTAAGCCATCAGTGCAAGAGCTTGCTGCTCGTGCGGCGTCACTTGCAATGGCTGAAGTTTCCAAAAACATCAAAGCTCCCAAATCTGCTTACGAGTTCGAGAACTCTTGGCGGAGTTTCTCCGGCGACAGGACTTTACAGAACCAGTTGTTGAAGGTTACGACTCCGAGCTCTTTACCTGAGATTTTCAAAAACGCCTTGACTTCTCCGGTTCTGGTTGACATAATCAAATCCGTAGCTTCATTTTTCCGGTAAGTGAAACAAGAACATTTTGCATTCTTGGTTCCACCAAAAAAAAGGTTCTTGGTGCTTATGGTTAATTTCTTGCTTGTTGTTTTTGCAGTGAAGACATGGATTTGGGTGTTAAATACATTGAGAACCTCACAAAGGTTCCTAGATTCAACATGCTCGTCATGTGCCTTACCTCCACCGAGAAAAACGGTACTCTCTTCATTATAACTTTCATTATCAACAACTCTTGAATTCGATTGATTATGGTTTGTAATTTCTTTTTGGGAGCAGAGCTTATGAAGATATGGGACGATGTGTTCTGCAATAAAGCAACTCCAGTGGAATATGCAGAGGTCTTAGACAAACTGAGATCAAGATACTGTCTACAACAGTAACTTAGGAAGTAAGCATTTCTTCAATCATCATGAACCAGTTTTTTGGTTTGTTTGTTTGCAGTTCCGGTTCTGGTTTTGTTCATATGTTAACCGGATAATCGTAGGTTGTTAAAACCGAGATCTGTTTCTTAAATCAAACTTTTGCTTCTGCTATTGAAATTGGAAGTAGGAATGTGAATTTTTTTGTAATCTAATCTGCTATATGCATTATCCGGTTTATCCGGTTAAGGATTTTTGGTACTCTCTATGTTTTTACTTTACTTGATTCTTAGCCACTAGGCCTAATTGGAACCTAGAATAGAAACAAATGTTCTTCTATTTACATCGACGACATGAGAAAAAGAAGAATCATGTTCTTCAATATCGGATCTTTCTACTTTAGGATATAATCTTACAAAAGTCTGCTCTTTAAACAGAACAAGAATCATAGCCAAGAATTTCGACCAATCGTAATGGGTCCTCTTTTTTGTCTTAATCACGACAAGAATAATCGGCTCTATCAACAAAATTATCTCTTTTGCAAATTTCAATAGACTTACAGAATCAATGAAAACAAAAAAGAAGTGGTCATTGTCAAACATTTCAAATCAGATGCTAAGAAACAGAACAAAGAAGTAAAAGACAAGAACAAGACTGTAGCAAGAACAGTAACACATTTTGTTGAGAAATACGACATCATAGATAGATCAAGTCATCAAGAAAACTTGTAATGAAACAGCAATTCCCTAAGAAAGCTGTTCTTCAATAGCAAACTCTTCAACTATGCTCTTCTTGTTCATAATCGCGTGGATCTTGGAACAGTTACACGCTAGACCCGAATCTTGATGATCTTCATGATCAACACCACCATCTCCACCAAGCTTCCTTGAGATGACAACAGAGTTGATAACTTCATCGGTCGGGTGATAAATCGATAACACTTGGAAACCTTGGAGGTCACAAGGCTCGATGATAGGATAGAGAAAGGCTCTAGGTCCATGAGCGCTTCTCAACATGAGCAAAGCACCAGGAGACATGTGTTTCTCAAGATGCTCAATCACTTTCATCTTCTCCTTTTTATCCATCCCGACAAGAGCAGCCAAGAACACGACGTCAAAGCCTTTTAAGCTCTCTGTCACATCCATTACATCAACGGTGTGGAAGAACATTCGTTGAGAGAGATCAGGGTCACAAGAAACAAGACGAGCTGCAACCGAATTCGCTGATGAGTCGATGTCAAAGTTGTGAAAGATTGAGTCTTTGAGATGGAAAGAGGCAAGAACGATGGAAGTGAGAGGGAGAGGACCAGAGCCGATGAAAGCCACAGTCTTTGGAACAGATCCGTTTAGGTTCTGTTCGAGGAGATCGAACTCGAGCTTGCTGAGTTTGAGATAGTTGTCGTAGTAAGGGAAGATGTTCAAGTGGTGAAGTGGGTTGTCTTCAAAAGAGTTTAGTATTGAAGTGAAGTGATGCTCTAAGTGTCCTTCAGCTTCTCCACAGAGTTTGATGAGGTTTGATCTCATCTCTTGGATGGTTTCAGACATCTTGGTGACGTCGATGTTAGGGTTTGGTGGTATGCATGTGGACACGAGCTGCTTGAAAAGAGTGTCGACATCTTGACAAGGTTTCAGGGTCTCGAGCTTCGAGATCTTTTCGTACAGATCGCAGATCTTGCTCACTAGCTGGTCGTCTTGGCAATAACCCATGTCGACACTATGAGGATTTTAGTGTTTGAGAGAGAGAGAAGAAAAAAATGAAAACCGGAGCTTCTTTTTTGTTTTTTTTTCTTGTTTTTCCTCAAGAATTGTGTTGGTAAGAAGTCTTTGGAGAGACGGTTATTTATTGGCAGATAGTAGGGTCGACAACATAGAAAATAAATATACAAATTTTCGATTTATTTACTCTAGGGTTCGAATTGTAACAATCGCGTGTGAAGCAAGTGGACTAAACAAAATAAAGGTGTTAGTACGTACGTACGTACTACCTATTTCATAATAAGTACTATGGGCCTAACTGGTGCAAGCTGAATTGAGGAATTGAGAGGAATGTAGCTGAATTTTTCATTTGTGACACCAGTTGAATCTGAGGAATGCAGCAGAATAAGAGTTTGAGGAATGTGGGTTTTAAAATAATAAACAATAAAAGATTTGTGAGATATGACAAATATAGCTGTTTTTTAATTGAATAATTGTAAATCCCACAAAATGACAAAAAACACATTAAGCTTTTACTCTCTTTTTTTGTTGCATAAGATCATTTATTTTAATGAATATGTAATATTACACTATTATATTTTGTATATGTATACTTTTAATGAATGAATGAAATATCAGTTTTCTTATATTCTATTTTTTTATCCCATTTAAATTGATTCCTTATATTCCATTTTTCTTTAAACTAGTTACATCCAAATACATTATTAGGCTTACTAGGTGTTTCTCAATAATTGAAAATTTATCAAAACAACAATTAGGTTATATGCAAACAATATGAGAAGAAATTACCCAACAAATACGAAAAAACAATTATTAGTAAATTGCTCATATCTTATTTATTAAATATATATTTTTAATTTTAAATGAGTAAATATTATGATATTCTAGTAAACATATAAGTTGTTAGTTATTTATTTCGCATTTAAAAACATTTAACGGTTAATATTTCTATTTTAACTATTTAATTGATTTAACTATCTATTTAGTTATTTTACAACTATATACTTTATATTTATTTTTAATTTAATTGGGTGAATATTTTGTTATCTGTTACACAAATAATTTGTTAGGTATTTATTTTTCATTCAGCAACATTCCGCATTTAGCAACATTCAGCTGTTACCATTCATATTACAAATTATTCAGCCAGATTCTGCAAAAAGTCTTCATTTTATTCAGCCAGATTCCGCATTCAGCAACATTAGCGGTTACCATTTAGACCCTATATAAGGTTTTTTCACACATTAAAAAATATATATTAGAATTTTTATAATTTTAACTAATGCACTACATAATATAATTTCTTTGTTAATTTTTGTTTTTGTTTTTAACAACTCATAGTAAATCTTATGTCTATGGAAGATATCAAACTAATCTTGTGCACGCTGTGAATAGACTTTTTCTTCAAATATTCAAATGAGTCAAAAACAATAATCCATATCCGTGTAAACAAGTGAAAATAACTACTCCCTCTATTTTATAATATAAGGGGTTTTGGAGTTTTTGTTTTGTTTTATTATATAAGGGGTTTTAGAATTTCTAGACAAAATTAAATGTATTTTTGTTACTTTTTATTATTTATATTCTTCAGATTATCTTGTCATTGGTCAAAATGTTTTGGAATTGATAAAAGTATATTATACGCTTGAATATAATCGATCCTGACCTAGACCAGCACGATAACTCCTCCTCAAGTAACCACCAGACTTCTCAACAGTAGCCACCACCACTTAGTTTTTTTGTTAAATACTCCTTTGTAACTTCGTTAAATTTATTGAGGAAAATGAATGTGGTTTAAACTTGGAAATTTATATGTGATCTACCATGTCACGAGAATGATTGAAAGGGTTAGCTACTTTACTTAGCTATATTGTCGAGTGAGAAAGATATGCAAGAAAAACTTGACTATTTATGTAGCTTTTTGATGGATAAATTTGAAGGAAAGACTGCAAGGAAGATCACATTCTAAAAGTAGTATTTTACCTTGCCTCTCGTTTCTCTTGTTTATTAGAGGTGAAAAGACTATTTTTTGTAATATCATAGTCTGTTTTTATATTTTTGAATGCGGAGCATCAATAAAACGACAATGTTGGTGGGATTATAGATAAAAAAAAAATATTATCTTCATTACCAAGTCTTAATTTTCATCGATAGTTTAGCATGTCATCGGCTGCGGCGTATGACAATTTGTCATGTACTTCATTTAACCCCACAAAAAAAAGTTTTACCGTTCATAACAATTTCGGTCTATGCGACAGTATGTTGTCATCCTCACTTTTATGCACGTTCGACGGATCTAATTTAAAGACTTCCTATATATTTCGTATATTTTACTTTATAATCATTAATAAATATGCTACAGTCCTTCAGAGCTCTGACAACTTTATGTATAGTATACACTTTAGAAAATAGTTAATTATTCACGGTTGAAGAGTTTTTAACATAAATAAAATATTTATATGCTACACCTGAATTTTAGACAACACCGTTCCATTTGAACTAATAGTGTTTCAAACATACCAATGGGCAATGGTCCAATACAGACATCAACTACCAATCTTTAATTTGTAACAGAAATATGTGTTAATTGACGCAACTGTTTTTTAGTTTTGGAAAGATAAGAGACGAGTCTAGTGTATAAGTTACTGCTATACACGAATGACATGTTTCAGAATCTAGATTCGACGAGTGTAAAATCAAGAAATTTATGTAGTAGGCTGCAGATCTAAACCAACATGTGAGAGCAAACTAGTTTAGTAAACATAAATAAAATAGCAAATTGAATAAATGTCTTTTACAATTGTATATCTTCATTATAAACCTCTTCGCTTATACATGTCTTTTACGGTTGTACCTTTTTGTTATAAACATTCTTCGGTAGAATCGTTGTATCTTTCTATACCGTATCTTTTCGCCTATACTCGCTAAATTTTACTAACAATTGCATCTTTTAACTATGATGTCTTTTCAACTCTATTTAGATTGTTTAGTTCATCTTTCCCTTCTTTAGTTTTAATTTTAGAATCTACCAACTCGTGGTTTTGATAAAACTATGTGCTACTTGTTTACAACAATTTCAAACGCCAACTTTGAAGTGGGATATTTTGTGCTATAACAATTTTGATTGTTACAGGAATATTAATATCTTCCAAGAATATGAGCAACGAGTATTCTTAAGGAATTTATAAACAAGATTTTCTCATACTGTACTTTCTACAAATTACAGCCCTCAGTAACAATTATTTTAGGCTACCAATACGCTTAAATAATTAAATTTCTGTGAAAAAGTGAGTATTAATCCCATTG